GGAAATGCCAGTCTGTGACATTCCAGTTAGCTATGTAGGATAGCTGTGAGTTGCCTCCACCAGCGGAGTCATGCCTAGCGATACCGGGACATGCGCCGCCACTAGCACTACTAAAGGTGCTTCAATAAGGTGGGCTAACTCTATGGTGCTAGTGCTATATATTCTCCACTGCACTCTACCCGATGGGTCTCGCTGACGAGCCGAAGGCACAGCGGTGTAGTAACAGAAAGCGCGCCGAAGGCGCGGGACCTGTTTTGTTGATCAGCGCGCGCTGAACAACAAAAACAAGATAAGCTAACCAGCTTAATGCGCGCAATAAATGACGGCCCTGAGGACACGGGCCGTTGCGAAACAGTTAGTCTAACAGTTACGCATTGGGCCTTACGCCCAACTAACCCAGCTTACTTACGCAAGCTCGCATTAAAATGCTTGCCAACTTGCGCCTCCTCAGAAACAGCTTTTACGACCCATCCTTCTTGGCGCAAAGAGCATTCGCGCTTCTTTACACACAGCTACCCCACCCATCTCCACCTACATACGCCCCGCCGGATAACACACTTCTAAGGAAACATGCGCGCCTTCTTATCCCCGCTCCTCCTGCCTGTCTGTCCCTTCCCTACCTCCCCACCTGTACCTCCCCCCCCGGCGCCTGACCTCCAAACGGCGATCCTGTACTGCTCTTCCGCCGCAGTTGGCCGAGGAGCAGCCTGATGACGTGGCCGCCTTCATCATATCTCACCTGTCACAGTAGACGCCATGACTAAATGGCGTCAGTAGATTAATTGATGTTTCGACATCTCCGTTGGCGCCGGCCTTATATGTGGTGCACTATTCATGGTCCGCGGCTGTATCAGGGGACATCCGGGACAAGGGTCTCGAGGGTCCCTGGTGCGCCGTTCCTAGGGGTTCAAAACGGACCGTGACGGAGGTTACTTCTCTGTGTTGGTTGCCCTCCTGGAGTTGTGGAGTTGCCCTCCTGCTTAATGCCATGCTGCGCCTTCTGCGCACATGGGCGAAGCATGGGTGAATGTTTCCATAACTGCTGCTGAAAACCTTCTCGCACCTTGATCATGATTCTGGGCTTTTGCGGTTGCGGCAGCAGTTGCAGGACGGACACGGGTAGATAAGGACACCTGCCGTGTTGTGTTGTGGCACAGCATGGAATAGAGGAGAGGCCATGGCGGATCGCGCCTCCCGTCGTGTTTATTAGTGGCCATGGGTCCGTCGTCGTTCACCAATGCGGAGAACATGTGAAGCATGCGCCTGAAGAGGATTGACAGGCCGAACAGACATGCAGCAAGCTGGGAGAATACGTTACTAACATATAACTTGACTCCTGTAAAATAGGCATGACACGATGGTGTAGTTGGTTATCACATCTGTCTCACACACAGGAGGTCCCCAGTTCGAACCTGGGTCGTGTCATGGACATTCTGCACTGCTAGCACTTTTGTGTTAGATGATGGCTGAGGTCCGATTCCTGGTCAGACCTCCGACCTTAATCGGAGGATTTCGTTTATAAATCACTGCTGAGGTGTGGAGATGGGGTGGACTAAGTTTCGCATGCTGAGCAGGTAGTGATGGTTGTCTCTACGGATGTCGGGTAACTGGACGAGGCGGGGTCTAGGTAGCAAGACCAAAATATCACCGTCGGTTGTAACTTCAATATATGTTAGTCCGGCTTTGACGGACTCCCTCACCTCATGCGGCGCTTATAAGTTGTAACATTACATTTCGACCAGCATTTGAGTCATTGACCAGCATTTGACTCAGGGAGATGGCTCGGAGAAACCCAGGAGCTGTTGGAACGATGGCACAGAAACCCTGGCGCAGAGGACGTGCATGGATATTGTGTACTTGTGCTCCACTGGGAACTGCTTTACACATCATCACGGCTGCTTCGGTGTCTGGCAACGCCATTCGCAAAGTGCAGGAATGGAGTGCGGGTTTGGTGTTTGATGCTACCCTTGATGATCTGTGGAGATGTCTTAATTAGCCGGGGGGAACTTTACTGCGGCTCCCAGGGCACATCAAGAAGGCAGTGCGCCTGTACGGCAACCATTTGAAGATTCGGACTTCAACTTTCACAGGGAAGCGAGGCTGTCCCTCTTGGCTCCTGCGCGTTGCTATCTCCGTAGCAGGCGACGTCTGCGTGTGGGTTATTGACACTGCTGTAACCCTGAGTCAGAGCTATCTGGATTCTTTGTAAATTCTCCTCTTAGGCGACGCGGGCGCCACCTAGGGTATCCATTAAATGCCCTTAGGTGCCACCTTCCCGTGTCTGGCCCTCAACACATACTTGACCACTTGCATGTGATGGTGGTGAGTGATGTGTTAGTAGTGCCCTCTCATCTTGCAGACGACGGGTTGGGGCACGTGCGACGCTTTGGATGGGTCGTGGTGCTCAGCACCAAATAGCAAATCCAAAACATAGGGCGGGAAGTGCTGCTCATCATGAGCTCCGTGCCAAGGGCTTGGTGGGCGCCCGGCAAAGGCCCGCTGCGGAGGTGCAGCGGGAGGTACGGCGGCTGGCGAGGGAGCTGCTGCGGCGGGAAATCGCCGAGTGGGCTGCGGCCAGCAGCGCCAGGTCAGAAACCCGTCGGTGTTTTGCCTCGCATGCGCCTGGTTCATGAAATAGACGAGCACAAGCAGTAAAGCTTTTTGAGCTGCTTATGTGTGTATGTGTGTGGTTGATCAATGATTCGGTCCCTTTTTGACACCGACCCAGCCCCGGTCCCTCCACTGCTCCTCATCATGCGGCGGCTCCGATATTGGTCCTGGAGGCCGTTAAAGAGGTGGAGGACGCGTTCACTGTGGTGAAGCTACTGCGGGAGGCTGACGTGCCGCTGTTACAGGTGGGGTGTGCGGGGGTTCGGGGTCGGAGGGAGGGGTCGGGGTTGCTGTGACTGGGTTTAGGATTAGGGACATCATTACCCTTGCATTGGGGCATTGGGGCGCACAAGGCTTTGGGCAATGCCTTAGACACCCCATCTCAATCCACAATGGTGATGGCAATGAGCGAGCAGGATTCTTTAATCCAGGGCGGCGCTTGTACGAGATTACGGAGGGGATTGGGAAAACACGTGGGGATCATGTGCGGCGCGGAATGTTTGCATAATCATGTTCCTCCAGCCGTAGACCTGACCTGCCGTAATTTGGTTACGTTGCTGAAACAGCCTAACTGCCGCCCTCGAACACCTTTCCTGGATACTGATGATTCCAGGGCAATAGTCTCCTCTGTCTCGACGACTGGCACCATCACCATTTCGCAGCTCACTCCCACTTCCTTTTACCCCTCCCCTGACGGCGGACTCCCACACGGGCACTGCAGGTGCTGTACCTGCCCGAGCGCATAGCAGGCAACACCATCCTGCGTAGCTTCATGCCCCGCTCCGCCAGGAAAAAGCAATGCTCCGCCCAGCGAGACAAGGAGCGGCCAAGTGGGTCGCCATCCCGGGTCGCGTCATCGAGTTCTTCTCCGCCCTGGGCATCCTCACCGAGGTATCCAGCCCTGGGTACGGCAAAGTCGGGCTAGCAGAGCTGGGCTACAGGGCTGGACCCACATATGCCGGCAAGGACGACCCCAGCGACGGCGGCAACAGTCCAGGCCACTCGGTAAGGCAACGAGGCACGGATTGCCGCGGAGCCAGTCTTACAGCAGCCTGTACCGCTGCAGAGCCCCCCGAGTGGCTGCGGGTCACAGGTTGGCGGCTACCGCGGGATCTGGAAGTCACCCCCCTGGAGTGCGTCACCTCGCGGCGACTGGTCACCAGTGCAGAGGAGCGGAACTGGGTGCTAGCAGAGGCGAGGTCCGTGTCTGGAGGACTGCGTATTTTTGGCAGCGACTTTCGCGATGGTGATGAGGTCTTCAGTGCACCGTCGTTGCCGGTGCCGACAGCCTCCGTGTCCACAGCCGAGGATGTATGGGCTTCCTCACCGGTACTCAGAAGGTTCCAGCAGCACAGTAACCGTTGGCAGGCACAGGCGACGCTCGGGATTAATGCGCGGTTCTTACACCTCGTTACATCGGATCAGCTGCAGGTTGCGCAGTTGACCTGCACCAGCTGGATGACCGAAGTATGTTATGATGAGTGTTGGCATGTTCCCAGTTTCCGTTCTGTGGCAGGGGTCGTAGGGTCCAAGGCGCAGGCAGGAAGCGAGGGGCCTTACTCGTGGTCTGACACAGGGTTGCAACCCCCCACACACCCGGTCACCCACACCCACACCCATCAACACACCCACCCACCTACACCCCCCACACACACCCACACACAACCACCCACACACACCCACACACCCACATACACAGACCGACCCCCCCACACACACACATAACGGAGAGGAGTCATATTTCGTGTTTCAGGCTCAGTGCGCGAACGGAGCCCTGACGGAGCCCTGACTCTTGAGAGCATGTGCGCGTGCGACCCCTCCCAAACCTAAGCAGCCGAGAGCCGCAGGGGGGTCCGAGGATCATCACATACACATATACACATACATCCCCCGGGGGAGGGAGAGCGGAGCTAGCGGACCTGCGGCTCTCGGCTGCTTAGGAGGGAATAGAGGCCCCTCACGCCTCCCAGCATGAACTTTTTCATTGACGCTGTCCTCAAAAATGAGCTCTAGGGGGGTTCCTCTTGTGTAAGGCTCCGTATGAAGCTATGTTTCATATGTAGGTATTTATCTACTGGGTCCTTTGGGCTCGTGCGTGTCCTTGGCTTTAGCCACGGCTTGCTGTTGCCCAGCTGAGAGTGGCCTCTCTTGGGGAGCAGTGTGTTCTGCCGCTTCACAGGGGGCCTACAGGCCACATCCGCCTTGACTGGTAGATTGCTGAGGCATTCCGTGCAGAGTCTCTCAAGCTTCGGGGTGAGTTGTATTGCTGCTCAAGGTGTGCGTTTTTGTCTTTTTCTGTTTATTTTCCAGTGCAGTGCAGTGTACGGCAGTCCGTTGTGGCCCTCGATGGCTGCCTGCCACCCCGATGGGGTATTATATATCCCCGTGGGGTCTGCGGTGCTAAGGTTTGTACTGCCTGCAGCCAGGAACAGCACGCGCGGTGTTGGTAATTACAACGCATCGCAATTTGAAGAATGAATGCCATTATCATCGGCCTCAATTTGTCAAAAACGCCCATCTTGACAGGAACCCCAGGAGAAACCGCCTCCGAAAGGGGCCCCAATCATACTCCACTCCGTACAAAAGAAGCAAGGTGCTCCCTGGGGGCCAGTAAATGCCTCGAACTCCAAAAAAACCCAATACCTCCCACCACCTCCGACAGCACACAGACCGTATAGATTTGCACAGCGGCCGCATCATAAACCGCATTATCGAGCAAATAGTTGCGTGTTGCGACAAGACCATAAGGCCCAACCACTGGACAGCAAAAGCATTAGCAGCAACAAAAACAACAATGCGGAGGAAAAGGTGAAAGACGCCATGGGATATGGCACTCACAGTGACGAGGCACAGCTACTCCCTTGTTGTACGACATACCGCTGTAGAAAGCTGTTGTGCTTTGGCGTTACGCGCACAGGCGGTGCCGTGCAGTCTCTCTCTGCGCCGCAAGGAACCTTCCACTTGCCATGTATCCCCATCACCCACATCACCCACATGATTGTGTGACAGACACTTCATGAAGTGCATGAGCCCCCTCTAGTCAACCAACTCACTCCTTGCCCGTACTGTAGCCCCTCCAATATGATAAAACATATAAATGCCGTACAGCCCGTCCTTTAATTGTTAACAGGGTCTATAGTTCCGCTTCTCCTCCTCCTCCTTTTCTCCACCTCCTCTACTTCCTTTACTTGGGGGCTGTGGCCCAGTTGTATCCGGACACCAGCCCAGTTGTGGCCATGACGCCGATTAAGGCCCAGAAAGGCGGCTCGGACCTGGCCCAACCGGTCTGAGGTCGTCGTGGGACAGTCGAGAGCAAGGTGCGTGCGTGTGTTCGGGGGGATGGGGAGGGGAGGGGAGGAGGTCACAGCGCGGTTGCCGAGTTTGGTGGGTGGGTTGTGGGGCGGCCGGGTCATATCTCTCCAGTCATGCGATGACCCCAGTGAGGAGTTCGGAGGAAGGTTGGAGCTTTCGAGTGGGGTTGGATTCCCCTGCGCTGGAAGGGGGCCACGTGGTGGACAAACCCAGCTGCTGCTGCTGTTGCTGTTGGATGCGGGGATATCGGGGGGGGGGAGGAAGAGGGCGACACGCGACATACATAACCCATGCTGCTCTGGACACTGGTTCAGTTGACCCGCGTGCGGGGACTACCAGCTTTCCGATGTCACACATGCTGCACGAAGAGAATCAACCGTGGCACACATACCTCATGCACACGAACGTAGAAATAACATTCTTTCTCAATTAATGTTTTGGGTGAAGGCAAAAGCCTTTCAAAGATTGTTGATATGCGCTTGAGAGAGCCGTGCTCGCTGATCTCTTTAGTAAAAGGCGAAAGAGATATGAGATTCGTGAACAGCTAAGCGCTGATAATCTATCTCTTGCAGCCGATGGACCCACAATAAAGGCCTTTATGGTCATTGATCACGCTACCGATGGTGGGTCATGAAGTGCATATTAGAATGTCCGTTTATATATATATCGTTTCAAACGTGCAAATATAAAACGATATTTTATATTCAATAAATCCTATTATACTGCCGCACAAAAATTCATCAAAGCCAAGCTACGCCAAGTGTCTGCTGCCTGCCTAGCTTGGACGCCCTGGCCAGTTCCGACAGCCAGCCACACGGCACATGGCCGCGCGTTCCCCCTTTCTTTCAGCCCTCACCGCCAATCCGTATCCCAGCACCCCGGCCGTGATGGCTGAGGAGGCGGCCACCCCCCCGTTAATGTTGCGAAACACTGGCGAGCCTGCGACAAGCGGTGGCGGGAGGGCAGGGGAGGGGAGAGGGGGAAGCGGGTTATAATTCCCTCTCCACAGTCGCGATTTAGTTCCTCCGAGCGCGGGTGGGGACTCGTGCGTGTGTGTTTTATGGTGGTGCGGTGCTGTGCGGTGCGGGGCCCAGGATGAGGAGGAAGCCTCCACAACAGCCTCACCCTCACCCTTACCCCCCCACCCTCACCCTCACCCTTACCCCCCACCCTCCCCCCCACCCTCACCCTGTCGGCCGTCATCTGCCGCCTGCTTCACAGTGAACATGAACACCGCATTGGCAAGAGTGGCTGCACCCAGCACACGGCAGAAAAACACATGAATCGGGTCCTGCAGGGTTATGTGGAGGGGGGGGAAAGGGGGGGAAAAGACGAACCACGAGCGCGTGAAGCTGCTGTCAAGGTCAGAGTGCTGCGGCAGATGTACAGGAAGCATAACTAACCAGTCGTCGGTTGTGGAGGAGTCCTCAGGGTGATGTAGTGATGACGACCGCGGACAACTCCTACCTAGCCGCCAAGACTAAGAAAAGAGCGGAAGAAGAACAGTAGAGCCAAGCCGTGCAATTGTAAAGGTACATGTAACGGCGGCGAAAAGGTAATCAAAAACTGACGTGAGAAGAGAAAGGGATGATGTGAGCTGAAGTACAGTTTGCCGCCGGCCTGGCGGCGGCGTTGAAGAGGCTGGAGCAAAACTGGCTGATAAGCTGCTCGTAATAAGCTGCTGGTGACATGCAAGTGCTCCCCCCAACCCCCCAACACGCGCGCGACCCGACCGACCCAACTATCCTAGTCCGGCTATAGCCGATTGACGCAACGCGGTACACCGGCAAAGCACTCGAGCCTCCTCGAACTCACCTGGCCAGGCAGCAAAAGCGGCGGGCAAGGAGGGCACATGCGAGGCAGAGAGGTTGCAAGATTGTGAGCATGAAGAAAGAGCGAACGCATGCAAGTGCCGTTGAAAGGAAGGATTAAGCTGGCAGACTAGGGAACCCGGGAAGAAGCCCTAAAGAACCTATGTGAAAGCGGGGACCAAAAACGAAACAGAAATGCAAAGGCGGTGCAGGACGATGCAGAAGGTGTCGTACTAGATGACGGAATTGGTAGGTAAACGGTACGAGGGGAAGGTGGCGGGGGAGGGATCACGGCAGCCGGGGGGGAAAGGAGGGGGGAATGTACGACTTACATACATACAGGAGGGAGGAAGCGGGAGGGTGAGAAGGAGGAGGAGGAAGGGGGGGGAAACATAACATGCGAGAATGCGAGAGAAGTGAAACTAGGAATGGAACGCCGCCGGAGGCGGGGGGGAGACATCCAAATCATCAGCAGCCGAAGAGGAGATGTGTTTGTGTGTGTATTGGGGTTAGGGGGGGAGAAAAGGGCTCTAGACAGCTCCACCACCTCGTCCCGTACGATCATGCTTCCGCCGCTTGGTGCCGTACCTTGGGCAGGATGAAGAGCAGCGAGGGGCTGAAGGGGTCGGCGGTGAACAGCAACACTCCGGCAACTGGTGGTTGGGTGGTTGGGAAGGTGGTTGGGAAGGTGGTTGGGGGGAGTGGAGGGAGGGGGGCGGGGAGGAGGGTTTCGTTGTCGTGTTTGTGTGTTTGTGTTCAGTTCAGTGTGTGGACGGGGAGCGGAAGGGCGGACTGTGACTGACGTCATCCGTACGACCCTTCCGTCCACCGCAGCGGTGAGGTGACCGCACGTACCGCACGTACCGCACGTACCGCAGTACACACAACCCCTTTGTCAAACCCATGTTGGCCCCCTAACCCCCACCACCACCCCACCGCCACCCCACCAACAGCCAACCCACCCCATCCCCCCCAACCCCCAAACCCCCCCTAACCCCCCTAACCCCTACGCACCCGAACCCGGAGCCGACACCTCCCATCCTCCGGGTTTGGAGACGGACCGGCAAATCGTGTGCGTTAGGCTGTACGGCTCTCTCCCCCCCCAGGGTCGCCCGACACGCCCTCCCAACACCAAGCTGGGCCCACACACACACCCCGGGGGCCCGGCCGGGGGATACCCGCCGCCATCACCTTTTCGGACTGTTGGCTTCCCTCGAAGCTGGCTCCTTTCCGCCCCTCTTTCCTCCCCGTTCCCCCTCCCTCTCCCCCTCTTCCCCCCCACCGCACATACACGCGCACACACACACACACGCGCCGGTGTCCCACCCATCAAGGCGATGGTGGCAGCTGAGTAGGCGGCAGCTGTCAGGTTGGCGGGGGTCAGCAGCGACAGCACTCCCCCCAGGAGCCCACTGGCGGAGGGGACCAGCTGACCGCTCTCACGAATCTGCGCACGTGTGTGTGTGCGTTGGGGGGGGAAGCGGTCCTGGGGGGCCGGGGTGTTTTGGGGGGAAAGGAGGGAAGGCCCGGGCCAGCAACACACACGCACACACACACACCCCTCTGCAATCCTTCGCAACCCAGTTTTCACAACACGGACCCTCCACACGCACCTCTCCGACGACCTCACGCTGGCAGGTGCCAGGTGCCGTACCTTCATCAAGGTGTACGACGTGGTGATGGTGGCTAAACCCGCAAGGCCCCCCACTGTGCCCGCCAGGAGAGGGCTGCGCAGGGAGACAGCCTGATGGGGGGAAACCACATGTGCCGTGTGGGGGGAAACAAGGAATGAACTGGCGGCGTCCTTAAAAGGGGTTGCGGGGGGGAACCCCCGGGTTTGAGGGGTGAGGGGGAAAGGGGGAAAGGGGTAGGGGGAAGCCGAATCGGGCATTTCCCACCCACGAGTACCGCAACGCCAGAAACGTGGTGGTGGGGCGGGTGCTGGGGCGGGAAGGCAGGTAAGCACATGTGAAGGACGATGACAAGGGCCGTACCGGAGTACTGCGTCCACATACATAGATACATACTGGTAACGCACACACCAATCGAGACCTGTCAAGAGTCGAAAAATCCTTCCAGTGGTGGAAGGTAGAAAGGCCCCTAGTTGATGGACGGTGGTGGGATAAAGTACACCTGCGAGCCGACCAGGAATGGAGTTGCGCCGCTGTCGACCCGGCAGATTCCGTTGGATGCTGGTGGTGGGTGCGGAACCTGAGCGATCCACTGAGAAGTTAACTAGGGTGACTGGATGAGGGTGCCCCGAAATACCGGGGAAGGCAGGGTTTCGCCGGGTAGAGGCCACGGGTGAAGATATACCCCCGTCCCACGCATCATACATACATACATAGTCACGTACCTGCCTACCCGCTACTTTTCGCGGTCCGATTCACAGCGGACAACACAGCCCTGTGGGTCTCATTGCGGCACACTGCCCTCTCCCTTGCATCCCCCCCCTGCAGCACAAAACACACACACACACACCCCTTCTCACAGGCTTACCTGCGACAGCACCACCAGGCCCAGCACCCCGTGAAGGAGGCAGCCCGACACCAATTGCTTGAAGGTGGGAGAGGCGAGGATGCCCGAGTCGGCTGCACGCTGGAGGGAGGTGTGTGGGGGGAGAGGTGGTGGGAGGCGGCGGAGGGTGAAGTGTGGGGAGGGGGAGAGGGGGGAAAGACGAACCACAAACGAGTGAAGCTGCTGCCAGGGCAAGAGTGCACCAGACGTAGAACTGTGGGGAGGGGGAGGTGGGGGGGAAACCTGCCAAGCGGGTTGTGAGATGAGGAGACCTTTGAGACGGGAGGAAAGGGTCTGGGAGATGCTTCCCACACGGTGCGCTGTGTGCACCTGTTACGCTTCCCATGTGCCTCTGTGCTCGCCAGTCTGTATCACAAGTACCTTTTATGTATGTGTGTATGTGTGTGTAGTTTATGTGTGTGAACGTACACATGTGTGTGTGGCGCAGTCGTACACAGTGTACAGTACGTCGACAGTTTCCCCCTCCCCGGCAGCGGCCCATTGATATCAACCTTACATCAACCTTTCCTAAAGCGTTTGGCGTACATTTCCTCAATTGCCGTACATGCCATGCCGTACCTTAATCTGTCGCTTCGCCACGATGGTGGGTATGAGCGCCGCGCCGGCACTCATGACGAGGAGCCGTTGCACCGTTGTCGGTGCGGTGTTTCGGAACACGTAGGTGACTTCCCCGCGGAGTTTCGGAGGGGGGAAAGGGAAAGTGAGGGGGAAAAGGAAGGGGGCCAGGGTTTTTATGCAAAGGGGAAGGCTGCACGTAATTCAACACCTGACAACTTAGCAGCGCCAAGCAGCCAAAGCTGTCGCCAGCTAGCGGCTACCTGCTTGTGGCTTGTGGCTTATACGAAAGGTAAAAGGGCACATGTCGGCGTATATATACGGCTCCTGCTTCGCGCTCTGCCGAATCCGTACTGTCGCTCCCTTTAGAAACGGTGTATTTCTCCCCCCTTTCCTCCCCCCCCAGCAGGTGGTTGGAAAGACAACGCATTGCCAACCACGAACCAAAAATCGTACCGACGGCGTTTGGCGCAAAAATGGCCGCGGCGCAGGCGACAAAGGTGCCGTACATGAGTACGGGATACATGACAGCCGCCACGGGCCCCAGGTTGACGCTCCGAAGCCCTGCAGCGTTTTCCGTGAGATGAACCATTAGCGCACCATTGCACGCGTACGTGAATCAGGAGGGGGAAGTTTCTCCTCATTGGGATCTGGGTTGCACCCACCATCATACACCACCCGAACAGCTACATCAGCTACACCAGCAGCCGCAGCAGCAGCAGCGGTACCAAATAGGTGCATCACCACCGACGGCAGGCGCAGCAATAGCAGCAACAATTGTACAATAAATGTCGTACCTGCAGTCGACACTACGGGCTCCGTGCCGTACGACCGCGGCGGAGTGGTAGTGCTACCGGGTGTCGTACCGCCGCTACTGCTGCTGCTGCCGGGTGTCGCGGCGGGCCTCCGGGAGGTTGCGTCATCGATTCGGTCCGGCGTGCTCTCCTTGAAGCATACCGGCTGTACGAAAAACACAAAGGCACCAATGCAAGCCACACACTCACACACACAACCAGAGTAAAGACAGAGCCCGCGCGCTATAAAAAATGACAGCAGCATACAGCCGCCCGGTGGATTCTGACGGTGAGAGGGAATCAAATCACAAAACCGGCGGGCCCAGGGCTATGCGGTTGCGCCGGGAGCGCGAATGCCCGTAATATGCGTGTGCCTGATGTTGGGACGACTTGCAGGATGAGGAGTTCCTCCGAGCCAGGACACCTGGAGGGGCCACCTCGGGATTCAGCCAGCATCAACATCAGCTTTACCGTCCATCGGGGGGGACGCCACAGGCTGCTGCAGTGTGCATGTGTATGTTGGCGGCGGTGTGTATGTGTGTGTATGTGTGTGTATGTGTGTGTATGTGTGTGTATGTGTGTGTATGTGTGTGTATGTGTGTGTATGTGTGTGTGTGTGCGTGCGTGTGTGTGTGTGTGTGTGTGTGTTCCGAGGGGATGTGGACGAGCCTAGAGAGCATCCAGGGATCTCTATTTTGCAACCGGTCAGTGCCTCCCTTACTCTCTCAGCCTTTTCCCCGCCTTTGATTCGACGTTGATAATTAAGTTATTGTCAGTCGGAATATTAATTTATTTTCAGCGAAATATTTTATTTTCAGCGAAATAATTTTTATTGTCAACGGAATAATAATTTATTGTCAGCGGAATATTTAAGATAAAATCAGCGAAATTAGCGTCATGAAAACGAAACGCGAAAGGGACTGAGTGCTGGCCCGCAAGGCGCTTCCTAACCCAAGGTACGATGCAAGGTGCGTGTAACGTGGCTGCGGCTACTGGCACCCTAACAACTCTACTCCGTCTCCTTTTGTCCTTATCTTCGAGTACCCTTAACGCATACACCGATATTTGTTACTGGATGAGTAAGGCCAGTAAAGCACCGTTTGTTTCGATAATATCGTTCGTTTGTTTCCCTTGGGGGATTAAACAGGGGGCTCGAGTTGGAGGTGCGCTGCAGGTAGATGTACATACAACAACGCGCAACAGGGTTCTGGGGCCAACCGCACTCCGCGACTTGGCGAGAGTCGGGCCGCACCTTGCAGGGCCTGCGAGCGACTCGGATGGCAGGGCATGCGGCAGCAAGGCGTGAAGAGCTGCAGGCTCGTCCGGCTCCTGCGGTGAAGGGTTTTCCGCGCGCGGTTACATCCCATCCGGAGCCAGCACCCCACTTAAGAACGGAAATTCCGCAATGCACAAGGAGACATGATAAAAAAATTGCAACATTTCAAGTTTTGGGGAAATTTATGCGCTTCAATTCACATTGCGCCGGTGGCCTGCCGAGTGCCGGCCCTGCCGTTGGCAACTTTAACTGCTGTCCGAAAGGGCGAACCTGGGTTGATCGTTAGGCGTCGACTTGCAGCTGCCGGTCCGAGTAGCATTTTAGCGCGTTGGTTGTCGTGGAGAAAACCCTGTTAGGAATTGTGCTCTGACACTCAGGAGGGTGCTACAACTCAAAGCGATCGGGCAAGGCCGAAGAATTTCCTTCGCTTTGCAAGCATGGAAAACTATCTTAGCCTCTGTGACTCTGTAGATTACCCCAACTTTCGGGCCAAGGACTAAGACGTCATCGCTCATCGGTCGCCCACAGTACGGAAATGCAACATTCCAGGCTGCAAGTTTAACTATTCTTTTCGGAAGCTGCGCTGCGCAGCAGGATATGTGCATCTACAATTAGCCAACATGAACTGCTTTTCCTGTCGTAACCTTGGTGGCCGTGCAGGCCCACATTGGCCAGTCGCTAATCCATCCTATCGAATCAAACAGGCGCGGCTAATGGTGCGCGCCAGTGAGCACCAGCAGCAATTAGGATTATCTTCCAATAGCGCCGAGGGTGGTCAGCTTGCCAGCACAGGTCCGGACCGTCTTAAGTTTCCATCGTCGATTATCTTCACGATAACGTGCTGTGCATGTTACCGCTCACCCAACTTCCTGATTCGGGCAAACACATGCTAGGTCCCATCGATTGGAGGACCAAATACAAATGGAGCTTCGAGGGCAATAAGTCAAGTAAGTGGGGGCCTTCCATGCCGTTGCGCTCTCCCGTCACCGATTTGCGTTCCTTTTGCTTTTCAGCATCAGTACATGTTAGCATCAGGATTTGACACGGGGCCTCCAGGACCACCCAAGCATAGTCAACCCATCCTTCCCATTTCCCCAGCGCTCGCGTCACCACCCACGCATCCCTTATCCCGCCAACCCTCACCCTCCCTGTTGAAGGTGGGAAACCTCGGAGCGATGATCGGTTGGTGGTTGATTTGCCGGTTGCCGCCATCCGACGACCGTTGGGCCGTGTCCGGGGAAACGGTATGAAGGGTCCTAGCTCCCAGGAGTGCGAGATGGCGGTTTGGGGTTAGCGGTTGAGAAGGTCCTAGTTGCAGAGTGAGCGGACTCGAGCGCATGTGGTACAGGTCGAGAGTCGGGAGCAGAGGGAGCGAGGGACTAGTGACTCGGCTTCCCCGTGTCAGAAAATGCGTTGCCTATCCTGGCCGCACAGCGGGTGTGTATTCGGCACGTAGGTATATGTAGGTATGTCTTATGTTGTAGGTGGTGTTATGTAGGTATGTGCTTCTGTACGTACTTATGTATGTCCGTGTAAGGGAATGTCGCTCAGGAGTCAAGGAAAGGGACATTCTTTAATGGATAAACCCAATACGAATACTGATCAATGTGTGCCAGTAGGTGGGTGGGTAGGCAGGCATGTAGGTAGGTAGGTAGGTAGCTGCAAAGGCAGCAAGTACAACAAATGTGGATATGTGTCTGTATGTCTGTCTGTATGCATTCCTTAGATCCTGAGAAGGTGGCTGCGCTGATGGAGAGCATCAAGGAGATTGGTCTACAGGAGCCAGTAAGGAGGGGGAGGGGGAGGGGGAGGGAAAACCCGGAGGAGGGAGAAAATCCCGGGAACTAAGCAGTCGATGTTATCCTCATGGCAAGAAAGCGCACCGGATGCGTTGCAGCTGCTGCCCATCCCCGCGCAATCGAATGTGTGACTCGCTTGCACGGCCAGCAACATGGGCCTCACACCCGGACGAGCCTTGCTAGGGCTCGTGTGTCTCCCGTGCCGCCTGGCCGGTTGTAACGGGGCCACCTTCCCCCGCATCCGTCTTGCGGCTGGGATGCCGTACCCTTTGCCTTGCTCCCTGATTGTTGTCGTCGGCACCAGATTGACGTGCTGGAGGTGGATGGAGTCTACTACGGCTTCTCTGGTTGTCACCGCTTCGAGGTGGGCTGCTACTGCCGCTGCTACTGCCACTGGAACTGCCACTGCCGCATATATTACGGATGCTGATGCCCCGGGGGGATATGCTGCTGTTAGCGGGTTTGGTTTGAGCCTGTGAGACTGTGGTTGCTGGGGGTGCCTGGGGTGTCGGCGCCTAGGGGCCTAGGAATTGGTTCCTGGACTGACTTAACAGACTTGAAACACACTAGTTCAAGTCTAGTGAGTAGTTTTAACACATTAGTTTGTCACCCTAACCACCTTAACCACAGAACTTGACCCGTGGTGCTGTCCCCCCTAACCATCTTTCCCGTTCCCATGTTGCTTCGGTTACTTCGGTTTCACTGGATGGTTCGGGTCTGGGGAAAACGCACGCAACCCGGCACACACATACACACACGCAGGCACACCAGCGGCTGGGCGCCGAAACCATTCGGTGCCGTGTACGGAAAGCCAACAAGGAAGTGCTCAAGATGCACCTCATGTAGTGCAGTGGACGAGGATCTCGGGATAGGTGGTGGCCTGGGAGCACCGTGATGGTGGCTCCTCTTAAGTCCGAGTGCGGGGTTGGTGGGCTTGTATGTATGAGTGTAAGGCTTATAAAGCGAGCGCGGGGCAGTGGGGGGCGGGCCGCCGAACCAGGAGTGTTGTGAAGGAGGCAGGAGGCAGGTAGGTGTCGGAATGAGGAGAAGCAAGGGCGAATGGTAGGTGGTGATGTGATGTTGTAGGAGGGTAAATCTATCCCCTTTGGTTTGGGCGCGCGTGCGCGTGTGAAACTGTTACTGTGACTGTGAGTACATGTGCAGAGGGGTGTCTGGCTCAGGCAGGCAGGCGGACAGGCAGGCAGGCGGACAGGCAGGCAGGCGGGCGGGCAGCATACGTGAGCTTGGTGATCACAGATCCTCCTTCCGGAGCTGTTGCGTGTAACTACCGCGGTGTTTATGTGTGTAAGGGGGGATGACGATGGGAAAGGCTTCCGGCTTTCCAGCTGCTGCTGTGATGTCCAAACAAGATAGTTCTGTCCTAGTACGTGGGAGCAGGTGGACTCAGTTCGAGACTGGACACTGCGTTGTGTGACTTATCATCGCTGTGACATCCCATGACCCATGTCCACATCAGGTTATACAGCACGGATCTGTTTGGTCCAATTAGGACTGTTGAAGCCCTGATGCCCCGCATCATATGAGAAAAATGACCAGATCCTTACCCGACAGCTCTTTTTGTGAACGCGTACTGCATTATGCATGTCTCCCTGCTCATCCCACACACCACACCACACACCACACCACACGCACAAATCTCATGATTTGATCTGGTCAAAGCTCCTATATCATTGAAGCACACACACGCCAGGAGCACGTCGACTCCCTGTCGGCAGCATCACCACTACTAACATCACGACCACCATGAAAGCACCAGCACCAGCACCAGCACCAGCAGCGAGCAGCAGCATCCATGTGAGTGGAGGAGAAGCCACGGCGAACCTCCGGGCGTGTGTGTGGCTATACTTCGGAACGGGACGTGAAACAGCACGGACATAGGGGACATGAAACCACGTTAGCGCTTTGGTTGGTCCACACCGCACGGCCAACTCGGCACCAACCTTGAAAGTACAGTTCTCCCCCTCCCCACTCTCCGGTACAGGAAGGAGGCTCTCGATATGCAAACACACACACCCAAATTCCCTAAGACACATTTCCGCCACCACCACACCACCACCACCATCATCATCATCATCTTCAGCATCGTGGTTGCTGACTGCTGCTACTGCACGCTTGGGGTCCCCCTCCGCCCATCAGATGCATCAAATCGTCCCACAGCATCCCTCACACCAACCACACAGCACCAACCATCATATCGCCGATGCGTCGGACACGATTCTGTGACCGAACTGTGTACGAGGAACGGTGTACACATACGATACCGTCACACGCCCATACCATATCGCAAGGCAGGACGGCCACGTCAGATTGGTTTACAACAAACTCGTCACTCGTCACTCAGACACGCAACTCTACCCTAGCCCAACGCCGCCCTGCCGGGGCTGTAAGTTCTCCTTACTGTACTGCTGCCGCTGTTGTTGTTACTTGTTGTTGTGATTGCTGCCTTGCCCACTGCTTCCACTGGCCCCAGTGACACAGACTCAATCCCAGTAGCTCCTAACCGCCCAACTGCGCTCTGCTGGCAGCCAGACAGACCCCTCCCCCCTCCCGACCCCCCCCTCGCCTCTTGGTACACTGTTGCCCTGGCAGCAGCTTCACTCGTTCATGGTTCGCCTTTCCCCCCCTCGCCTCCACCCTCTCTGCCCCCCTCGCCCTAACCCCAGACCCCCCCAACAGCTCCCTGAAGAGGCCCCTCCCTCTTAATACATACATGCGTACATACATATAGGGTTCCCCAAGGTTTAGTTATCGCTTGTCCGAGCCCACCTCACCCCACCTCATAACTCCCCCCTCCTAAACCTCTTCCGGCTCTCCATCCTCCTCCCCCTTTCCCCCCTTTTCCCCCTACCTTCCTCCTCCACCAACACCTCTGGTATCCCCCCACCTTCAGAAGGGCTGAACGTACACGTGCGTGCTCTGCGTTGTGAGTGCGCAGTTGTGTCTTGGCGCCAGCAGCCTCACCCCCGGCAGCTGCTGGTGGCCGGGCACGCTGGCAGTGAGGGTCCAGCACACGGAGGACCTCTCCCGGGGGGGCACGGAGAGGGACGGACTGCGCTCGTTGGCGCAGGCAAAGCCGGGGGCGTCCATGAGGGAGATCATGAGCTCCAGGGGGGTGGAGCTGAAGTTCTGGAGCTGCGGGCGGGCGGGTGGTGATGGCGGGGGGCCCCGGGAAAGAGAAAGAAGTATAAAAAATATAATCTAAAGCTTATAGATACAGCAGGATTTAGGAAAAAGCAAATGTTACTCCTTGCCCAAGATAAATATTTCATTTAAACGAGCTGAATAAGTTAGCGCTGAAGAGGATTGGGATAGGGGTTGGAAGGGAGGGGGGAATGCGGGGGGGTTAGGTGGGGCAGAGGTGAGGAGGGCTCGCAAAGCAACACTACTGACTACCCGGCCCACGGCCCTAGCACCGCCATGCCGCGATGCGCTGAATAACAAGGGACCTCCAAAACCGGGCTGTTAGCTACAGGACCTTCCAGCCCCCTTCCCCTCTCAAGATCGCGGTGACTCTTTTCTTCCCTTCACCTTTTCCTCCCATACGTCATCACTGATCACTTCCTTTCCCTTCATTTCTCGTACCTCCCCCCCTGTCCACTATCCATAGAGATATCCACTCTCCCTCACACACACACACACACACACACACGCACACAAGCCCCACCTGCAATGTGTAAGTGAAGGCGATCCCCGAGGTAATCTGCGCAGGCCCCAGCGTCCTCGCAGTCAGCAGGCTCTCCGAAACCGTCACCCGCGGCAGCTCCAACACACTGGTGACCCATGGGTCAGGGCAGGGCTCCCCCAACGGATCCACACAGTCCCCACCTCCTCCGCCACCACCAGCTTCCCCTCCCCTAACCGCACCCCCACCCCCATCCCCACTAACCCCCCTACCCCCGTCACCAGGGGCGTCCGTCTCACCCCGATCCCCCTCCTGCTGTTGCTGCTGCTGCTGCTGCTGCTGTTGTTGTTGTTGGTAGTGGTGCTGGGAAAGCTCAGCCTTTCGGTTCTGGTGTTCATGATGGCTATGATGTTGGTGGGGTGATGGAGATGCAGGTGGAGGTGGAGTGGGAGGCAAGGCGGGTCGCAGGAGGCTGCCCGCTGCTCGCCGCCACCTCAGGTTGAGCCGCCCCATGCTGCGACCGTGTTCCAGCAGCTCAGTGGGACAGATGGGCAGCAGCAAAGTGAACACGTCCCCGCGGGCCAGGGTCATGGGAGTGGCGGGACCGTGCGCGGTGAGCTGCTGGTTGGGGTCGGCCACCAGCTTGATGGCGGCACTGGGCTCCAGAGCCACCTGAGGGGGAGGTGAGATTACATACCGTAGTATGGGCGAAAGGTGGGAGGAGGAGGTGGGAAGAAGAACCACGTGAACGAGTGAAGCTGATGCCCCAGGATAGACTGATACGCCAGAAGTACCTAAGAAGTAACTAATGAGGAGGTGGAGGTTGGAGGTGGAGGTTGGAGGTGAAGGTGGAGGTTGGAGGTGGAGGTGGAGGGGTGGAAAACGGCGGAGGGGAGTCCCTCCAGGGCCTTTCAGGGCAGGTATGTATTGCTTCATACAGCCGGCTCAGCTGCGAGCCTAATACTATACTATACCGCACTCACTGGGCTGCGCAACGCTGCGACGCAACGGCCAGGTCAAGGCCAAGTCCTCCACCCGCCCAACTAGGGGGACCCTCCCCCCCCTTAGGCGACCCACCTGCGCCCCCGCCAGCTCTAATGTGGCGGGCTGTAGTGCCCGGATCATGGCTGTCACCATCACGGGCTGGCCTGAAAGGGGAGGGGGAAACATAGGGATGGGAAGGTGGGGAGAGTTGGAGAAGGGTGCAAGGCAAATGCCGGGTAGGATGAGGAGGGGAGGGAGAAATATCCTATGCAACAAGGGGAAACCAGAAATAAATGAACTGCTGGCGTCCGAAGAGGGAGGTGGATGGGAGGGGTGGGGAGGGTGAGCGGGGGACCGGGCCTAACAAGGGACTGAGGTGGGGAAAGGGTTGGCTTCCACTGCGAGTGCAGTGGTACAGACTGGACAGGTGCGGTTGGAACCCCCCTCGCACCCACCCACCCACCAATCCACCCACGGGGCCATCCAACACCACACCGACGCCCAAACCCCGACCCGTACCACCTTGACGTCCAAAGAGCAGATCTCCCCAAACCAGCATCACGCATTGCAAACACACATACATACACACATACGACGTCCTCCCGAACCTGATTCATGGGGTTGCATGGCACCGGCTGGTAAGGAAAAAAGATGCGTACCCGTATCGTCAGCCGATAACCCCATCCATCCATCCATCCATCCATCCATCCACTACCGCCCACCCACCACCGCCCAAAGCTGCCTGCCCACTCGGACATGGGCAGTTATTTCCTCGCCGTTTGCATCACATCATTCCCGTCCACACCCACCCCACCACTACCCCTCACTCACACCAAACCCCAAACCCCAGAACCCAGACCCCAGGCAGCCGCCGCCGCCGCCGCCGCCAAGTGCCCCCCGCCCGCGGCTCTCACCGATGGTCAGCGCCGTGGTGCCACCCTCCCGAGTCGTCAGTCGAGGCAGTGACAACGTGTGGATTCCCACCTCCGAGGACATCCTGAAAACCAACCAGGACAACAGGATAATAACATCCGCAGTAGCATTAGCAGCAGCAATAGCAGCAGTAGCAGCAGCAATAGCAGCAATAGCAGCAGCAATAGCAGCAGTAGTAGCAGCAATAGCAGCAATAGCAGCAGCAATAGCAGCAGCAATAGCAGCAGCAATAGCAGCAGCAGGAGGGGATGATATCTTCACATGGAAGCAGCAATGGGTCGAATGCCGACGGACGTCCAAAGCTCCAACAACAAGACCAACCGGGAGGGCCCCCGGCAGACGACACAGACCGGGACATGAACCCAAGATCTGGCACACCAGTGCCTCAGATACCCCGGCGGTGCTCCCACCGGCGGTCGTCACAACTCCGCGGGGTAGGGTATGTACACCCTTGTCAGCTGGCATGGCCTGGTGCGACACCATATCCCCCCTAGCCCCCCTCCACCCTCAGGTTCCGGAGCTACAGGGGGTTGTTGCGTCATCGCCTTGCTGTCCTCCTCCGTAGTTGGTTCTTCGGACGTCGGCAGCTGAGTCTTTTCGTTACTTGTGCAGCTGCATTCAACTCCTTTCCTCCTTCCCACCTCCCCTCTACCCTCCTTTCCTCCAACCCCTCAATACTAACCTGCATTTGAACTCAAACGGCTCCTCGAAGGTCAGTGTGGCTGTGGCAGTCACCTGCACACAGGCGGAGCCAGACAGACAGACAGAGAGGCAGACAAAAGGGCAGTAAGAGGCAACATGGGCCCAGCGAAGGTGAAGGAACAGAAATGATAGCTGCAGGAGGGACGGGCCAGTTCGAGGGACCGGCCACACCGCCGAGCAAACGCATCCTAGAACCCTTAACACCTCCTTGAGCCAACTCACAACCCCCCCGCCGCCGCCCTCCCCCACCTCAGCGCCCTGGATGTGTCCCCTAGCGCCCCTCCCTGTATTCCAACGCACTCACTGTCCCCTCCTAACTCAAGCAAGCAGACCGACCCTCCCGATACCGCCCACTACCACCCGCCCACTACCTCCACCGCCAACCTGTGCAGGGCACAGCAGCACCGCCGCCACCGCCGCCGTTCCCGCCGCCGCGGACCTCGCCCACAGCCGCACCGTGTGACTGCGACCCGGCTGCACAGGCGGCAGCGGTATGCGGTATCGCTCGTTGTTCAGCGCCATAAGCCCCCGCGTCGCCTCCGTGTCGTCAACCACCAATACGATATCGGAGGCCTGCAGGCCGCCGCTAGTACGGCCAATCACGAACTCCATAGAGGCACCGAGCAGCGGCCGGCCCCCCGGCGCCACCGCCAGTATCGCCAGCAGCGGAGCATGCTCACCGAGCAGCGCAAGGCCCGCAGGAAGGCCGTACGACAACGTCGGCAGCGGCCCTAGATGCGCCACCGTTAACACCAGCTGCCCTGGCGACACCGCCGGGCCGCCGTCGGTGGCGGCGGCGGCGCGGATACTGCGGAATGGCGCCGCGGCGTGGTCGACGGAGGCGCCGTTGCCGCCGCCGCCACCGCCACCGCCTGGCGGCACTAGCAACGGCCCCGTCAACACTCCGGGTTGCGCCGCCGCGGTGGCGGCGGTGGCGGGTGGGAAGGACGCGAGCTTGAATACGACAGTGGCGTGGTCTGAGAGGAGCAGGATGGCGCGTTCCGCGCGCAGGCGGCCGAGGCACCGGGGGGCCAGGCGCACGGAGAAGTGCGACCAGCGGTACGGCGGCAACGGCAACAGTGAAGGTGCTGTGGCGGCGGCGGCGGCGTGGTAGGGCGTGGAAGCTGGGGCGGGCGTGGCGGCGGCCCCGGATACGCCCTCAGAGGTGGAGGGAGGTCCGTCAGTTTTGTGGAGTTGGCCTGTATGCAACAGAAGGGAAGGTGACGGTGAGAGGAGCTTCAAGGAGGAGCTGTAGGACGGGGTTAGTAAGTCTATCCCCCACAACCCCACTACCGTAACCCCCCAGACTAAGGTACTCACCCACCCACTACCATCCACCCACTCACTCACCTGGTAACCGACCGCCGCAGCCAATACCGGTGGCGCTGCTTTCGCACACGCCGCCTTCCCCACCATCACCACCGCTACATGCCGCGCCCGACGTGGCTGCTGGCGGTTGCTGCTGCTGCTGTTGGCCTGCCTGGCTCATCCACCACTCGGCAGGCAGCGGTTGGCGACCGTTGTGCGGTGTGGATGGCGGCTCCCCCGCTGCGAAGAGGGGAAGAAAGCCATCGAGGGGGATTATATTAAGTACAAAAAGCCAAAGCAGCCACCCACGGGTTGGGGGAAACCGTTTCAGCTCAGCCCGGGGGTTGCGGGCAGTTGCATAGGGTCCGATCGGGTAGGGCAGAGGGAGGGAAGGGAACAGGGGGGGAGGGGTCTTGAGGGTACTTGAGCCTCAGCCTCAGCCTCAGGCTCAGCAGACACGACAATTACGATAACGGCAGTTTCCATGCTTGCATTACAGCGAGCTGCCGCCGTGCAACAAAAGCGTCCCAAATTAAGCCCGTTCAAAAAAGAATCAAGAAAAACACCCCACAATCATGTTGGGGAGCGGGGGAAGTTACAAAGACGCCATTTTGAGGGGGAAGGAGAAGAGGAAGAAACGGCTGGAAAGGTTTTGCCTAACCACTTCCCACCACCAACCGAACCATGTACCTTGCCCATAGGCTGCTGTTTCTTGCTGTTGTTGCTGCTGTTGTCGGGCGGTGTGGGGACGCAGGTGCGAGTTGAGGTGCAGGTGGTGGAAGGAGTGTGTGGCAGAGTCCAGCGCGGCGCCAATATGTTGCGGCAGTGGGGTAGCGGGGGCTTCTTGGGGGGGTACGACACCGGGTAGCGCCTGGACCCAGATATCGCCCTGGGGAGCCCGACGCACACACATAAGACATGTGGGGGTTTGGTTGAAGAGGATGGGTGAATTGAGGGATCGCCGCGACAGGAGCGCAAGAAGCACATGCAAGGGTCGACTGCGACAGGTGGGGGAATGGAGGACACAGCGATAAAGAAAAGCTGAATGAATAGATTTACAGGAATAAATAGTTAAATATGACGTTAGCGAGTAACAGTACTTGTCACAACCGTTACCAAACAATTTCCTTTTTCCAAAGCCCTCATCGCCTTTTTCCTCCTCTCTCTCTCTATTTCTTTCTTTAGGACACAGCTGTTGGCGGCCCCGCTGAGTCACCGCTTGCAGCAGGTGCTGGTGCTGGTGCTGCATCTTGCACCACCAGCAGTAGCAGCCGCCGGTGATGCCGCACATTCATTCACCTACGTGGTCGTCAACGAAGTGCAGGATGACGGCCTTGAGTGGCACCGGCATCGGCAGCTGGTTGTAGAGGCCCAGGTAGAAGTCCGCGGTGTCCGGATCGGGGCGGCCGTACGTGAAACCAGCGGCGAGCGCCAGGCACCTGCGTGGGCGACGTGGACAGCGGACACGACCCCATGAACCGACACCCCCCCTGCAAACGTTGCTGCCTTCGCCTCCGGTATTCCTGCTACCTGCAACTTGGCGTTCTACCCCTGCCAAGTTGGCTGCCGGACCTCACAGACCTTCACCGCTGAACCCCCTTTATTTATCTTGTGCTGTGCTGTGCTGTTCCTTGGTCCTATTTCCCTAACCCCGTTTTCCCCCCCCCCCCCGCCTCCGCACGCGCAGCCCACAACCCCCCGGCCGGTGACCCCACCTGCACCATCCGAAGTCCTGTTGCGTGTGGCGGTGCATGATCTCCGCCATGGGCCGCAGGTCCCCGGCCTCTCGGGCCCGGCGCTGAGCCTCCCGCAAGTCCAAATACTCCACCTGACGGGACCGGGGCAGGACGGCACCGGGGGCAGGGAGGGCAAGGCGGGGCGGAGCGAGGCGGGGCGGGGCGAAGCCAAGAAGGCCGCCGGGGGATCACCATCCGGATAGGGGAGGAAGGCTTCGGGGAGGCCCGGGAGTTTTCACTGGGTCGGCGGGCAAGAGGTAAAGCTTGAAGTGCGCATGCTCAGGTATTGTGGGACGGATTGCTTTTTTTGGCATAAAAGCAACTGAAGAGACGAGATGTTAGGGCAAGAAATGGTGCTTGGACGCACCGTGTAGTGAAAATGCCGCGGCAGGCCGCCACCGCCACCGCTGACCGACGGCGTCGGCGGCCCCGGCGTCGGCGGCGGAACCGCCAACACAGCGCCGCCGTCTGATGCTGTGCCAATGTACGGCGACGGCTCCGTTGGCGACAGCGGCGGAACCGCCGTCCCGGCTGCCGCCGCTGTGCCCGTCGTCTTCATAATGCCCTGTTTTATTTCCGAGATGCCCGTCATCAGCGTATTAATGGCGGACCTGCATGCCGCCATCGCTGCGGCGGGGTCCGCGACTCGAGTAGCACACGACGCCTGGGCCGCGACGGCGGCGCTGAGCGTCCTGGACGCCGCTGCCGCCGCATGGCGGCGGTCATCCGCCAGACTTGAACTCGACCGGGAGTGCATGAGGTGGTTAGGGGCCGAGGGCGGTTGCCCGACGGCCGCCGGTGCCTCTCGTAGCAGCTGTGACTGGTGGTGGTGCTGGTGGTGGTGGTGGTGGTGGTGCTGCTGCTGCGGTGGCAGAGGCTGCTGGACCTGCAACTGCGTCGCCAGGGCGGCGATCTCCAGGCTGTAGCACACGTGCTCCGCCGGTAGCCGTAGCCGCTGCGCTACCTCCCGCAGGGACACGAGCGCCTGCAGCAGCGGCAGCAGCCAGCCCTCTCGCCGGTATTGGTGGCACACCTGCGGGGGGGGGGGAAGGTGTTAGAGGGAGAGGAGAAACATCCAAAAAGTAATTACATGAAGCAACCGTGGGAAAGCCATGACAGGGACATGACCAAAAGACAAACACGGGAGGTCCAAAACCGGGAGGTCCAAAACCGGGACACCACCACACACCTCAGACAGAGAGATACATGACCAAAAGATAAACAACGGAGGTCCCAAAAAATATCAAGGGCCGAGTCACGCTAGGAAGGTGCAGGTAGGTGGTAGGTGCGGTATCCGCAGCCAAACTCCTAAAACCCGTATCCACCTGCAGCAGCAGCTTCCTGGCTGCGGATAGGTTATTAGCGAGGATGTGCTCCGAAGCCATCATGCCGCCAAGCTGGCTGCGAAGCCGGTCTACCCCTACATGGCAAGGAACGCAAAGAAGCAGGACGACAAGGACGCAGATTCAAAGCGATCGTAAAATGGTTCGAAAAGAGGTGCGCACGAATAGGCGAGCCAGCCCTCACTCGGAGGGTCCCGGTCTGCATGCGGAGGCGAAGGCGGAGGCGGGAAGAGAAAAGAAGAGAAGAGAAACCAGGTGCGTGAGAGGATCAGAGGGGAACGAAGCGTGCATGTCAATACACACACATATATATACATATATATGCACGCAAAGATCATATAAAAGACACGCACACGCACACACACGCACCTGCACAGTCCTTGAGTATGAGCAGTGCGGAGTTCATGACGTCAATCACGTAGGGTGCGGTCACCAGTCGACACTCCTCCGACTGGGCAACACCAAGTGCGAAGAGAGCGGGCGGAGGGGGAGGGGGGACAGGGGTAACAGGCCAATAGGGGTAACAGGCCAAAGCCACACATGCAAAACGCAAACACCGTCGACGACACCAAGGGGACTAAAATAAAAGCTTCAACCAGTCCTTTAGCAAATAGCCGCGTACCCCCCTCCAACCCAGTATTGGGTCGTAGCTGGTGACGTGATTAGAAGAGAGAGAGAGAGAGAAAGACATGAGTGAAAAACATTTTCAGTGTAGCCGCACACTCACACTTGCCGGTAAATTTTATATGCAGTCCATGCCACGAAGCGCCTTGTCCTCCCCTCAAACCAATTCAGTGCTATCTCGTGCCTATCATCATCTCCGACCGCAGCCCACGAGTGGCTCTGGCGGGGCTGCCGGGGCAACCATGAACCTCCTCCTCCTCCGACCTACATCCATCCCAGTTTCCACCAGCCGTGTGCGGCTGTGCACGCAGCCGGGGTAGCGGGCGCTTCATCCTCGTACGGAACGAGACATAACACCCATTCCACAAAGCCTCAACCCGTCCTAGATCACACTCCCTTCCCACCCCTCCACGAGCGCCGCAACCCCCAGCGCCTGACAAGGAACACCCACCTCCAGAAATAGCAGGTAGTCGTGATCAGACAGCGGCGAGTGTCCACCCTGCAGTCGACAACGGGCAGCTAATCAGGATTGCTTGCCAGCGAACGACCCGACACAGTGCACTCCTACGGCCCATGGCTACGGTCCGTAGGCTCGCCTTACAGCGTGCCCTCGTGGCTCACTTTCGCTAGTGGGCCACAGAAGCAGGCTACACGCAGCGGCCCGTACCGCGTATCGCGCCCCACACGCACCTGCGCCGCTTCATTGCGTAGCACCAGCTGACCAACGTACTGGCCCCGTCGAACCGGCGCCGTGTCCAGCAGTGGCGCGCATCCGCCAGCGGCACGCGCCGCACGCATCGCGTCCGCTGCCTGCCGTCGCGCCACCGCCAATTGCGCCGCTGCTATCAAAAGGTGCGCTCGACTACAGTCCTTTAGCGTGGAGCTGGAAACCACGGATGGCGCCATCGCACCTGTGGTGTTGACTGTCGCGCCGGTGGCACCAGCGGCGGCGGCGATGGCGGCCGCTCCGCCGCCCGTTACTTGCGGCTGCGGCGGCAGCGGAATGGCGCTGGCGGTGCTGCCGCCGGTGAACCCCGCCGCCGCCGCCGCCGCGGCCGCGGCCGTGGCCGCGGCGGTGCCGGTGACTGTGGCGCCGGTCACGGTGCTTCCGGCGGTGGAGAACGCCGGCATGTAGGCAGGCAGCGCGTCGACGTGGGTGCCGACCTCCTGAGCCGCTACCTGATGTTGGCGGACGAGGTAGCCGAGGTGGCTGCCGGCGGCGGCGGGTGGCAACACGCCTGGTGGCCAGCTCCATGTGTCGGTGGGGGGGGCAGCAGCACGGTAGACGGCCGCGGAACGGAGCGACGGAAGGTTCCTCAGGGCAGCTCAGCAGCGGCAATAAAGAACGGGGAGGACTACGGGCGGCTACGATACAGCACTACTATCATCATCATCATCCAGTGCAGCTGAAGTCGCATGCCTGCCACACCACAGGACCTCCTCCCCTAACAAAGCCCTGACACCACCGAGTCCTTTCCCTCAAGCTGGACACAGTAAGAGTGCGAAAGAACACCCCCAACAACCGCGCCTGCGCCTGCGTCCCGCCGCACATCGCCACGCAGCGCAGGAAAATCGCCCATCTGTGCCTTTTGCTTTCTGGCCGCTTCTGCCCTCGATCCGTCCCGTTCTTCCATGACCCCGGCCGGTGGGGAACAACCGCACAACCAACCGCACAACTCTCACCTGGCGGTTTGCCGAAGTGCGCGAGGTGCGCCCGCACCTGCGCCACCGCGTCCTCCACCCTGCCCTGGTGTACGGCCAACATAATGAGCTTCAGGTGCACCAGCTCAGCTACAGCGCACACCTGACAGCGTCGGAGAGAGGCGAGGGAAAGATAAGACCGCCAAACCAGGCAGGCCCCAGTCGAAGTCGTTGGGGGGATTGGGAGGCGCGTCGTTGTGCACGTTAAGATAACATAAAACGGTATCGCACAATATTTAGTTAACGTTAACAGCAAGGCCATGTCTAGGTTTTTTATGACTTATGGCCAGGCGTGGAGCAGCAGCATCAGCATCGCTATCAGCCCCAAAGCGTGTGGGTGGGCGGGAGGGGGGTCCCCGCATGCACCAAGAATGAAATCTGGGACGTAGGCCTTTCCCTGTCCACTTATAAGCCTGTAGACCTCACCTCCGTCCAACGCTCCGGGCGAAGAGGAGGTCCAATCTGCGGGAGGTTGCGAGGTGGAACGGTGGGACATTCCAGCACAAAGAACGGCGGTAGTGGAGGGTTGCGGGTACGAAGCGGCGGCAGCGCGAACCTTGCAGATTGAGATAAGAAGGCCAAAAGATGTTGGGCGACAGGAAATGGAGATGACCGAGGGAAAACACCGAATCAAAAGGGCCAAGGGGAGGGCTACAGGCCCACGGCCGCAACAGCTGCAATGCCAGTCGAAGTCCGCATCACATGAGCAGCCTCGCGCCTGACCGACCGCCCTCAACACACCAGACATGGAGATGTTGAGTGAAAACAAAAGAGCTCGAGGTACATGCCCCACAGCAGCAGGCAGCGGCCCAAGCTCATCGCTCAATGCAACATCCACTCCTTACGATTTAACCGCACAGCACATAATCATTTCCCAAGGCCGTTTGCGCGCCAGTCCACTACGGAGTTTTACTACTCGCCGGCCTGAAAAGGCCTCTCTCAAGATGCTAGTGAAGCGCCTTAGCGCGTATTTATATAGATGATATGTGTGCCATACGTACTATATAGACAGCTACTACATTCCTCCCCCTTTGAAGGGAACCGTCTCAGGCCGTTTACGCTACGGCCACGCCAGCCTGTGCAGTGGGTGATCAATCTGCCTCACGTTATGTCGCAGCTCACGTCCTCCTAGGCGTCATTAAGTTTTTCAGGGTCTTGCTTCCCGGTTTCTGGACTGAAAGTGTTCCCTTGCGCGCAGGCCCTCCCTCACTCTTTCCCCCCCCCCTCTTTCCTTCGCCGTCCCACCACCCGCCGCACCTGCACCGCCAGAATGGCGCCATACGACTCCCGGTAGTGCGCAACTGCTGTGGCCCAGTCCTGACGAAACTCCGCATACACCGCAAGCTGCATGCACCACACAACAAGAGCGCCGTAGCGGGGCGCCAGGAGGTGAGTTCCGGACCATGCGGGGAGCAAGCGGGGCGGCGCTCTCTCTACCCACGAAAACAGCAGAGAGGGCCCCCTACACAAACCGACTTGCCGACATTGTCATCTATCTCGGCCGCATTCCGAGCCCCCTAACGGCATTGGATACCCTGCCTTAAATGCCGTGCGCGCCGCCAGCTCCGGTGGCAACGGACCCCCCAGCGTGCTACGCCGGGCCGCAGCCTTGTCAGCCACGTGCTTTGACAGGCGGCTGTAGTACGAGCTGCACAGCTCCAGAACCAGCTTGCCCAGCCGCGCCAGAGCCGCGTCGCGAACATGGCGGATGGCGGGGTCGTCAGGCAGGGCACCCGCAGGCGCGACGACGGGCAGCGGGATGATCAGCCTGTACACGGAGTCGCACAAAGATCCATCAGGGTGGACGGCGCATGGCCGTACGGAGAGGGTAAGCTGTGCAAACGAAAAGGTATGGAGGGATGAGTTCAGACCGCGCGGGGGCCCCAGTTGGCAGATACAGTCCCTGCGTTTGCGCCACCCCGTGCCTGAGAGTGAGTTCTATCCGCGGGGTAGTAAGTCTGCCGCCCAGCCCGCACATGCAAAGGCACCCAACACCCGATCCAGAAGTAACGCGCAGCCCCGGTGTGATGTCTTAACTAGGTAACGCTCGCTACGGTTCGCATGCCTTGATCGCCGTTTCCAGCCGCATTCGGCAGCAACCCGATCCCACCCGCCCAGAAGCCCGCCCTGCACATTCTCTGGCACAGCGAGCGAGCGCACCTCCGGTCTAACGTCAGGTTGTGGGATACCGCCTGGACTCGGTCAGGAGACAAGTCGCCCAAGCCCTGCAACGCACCACATCACATCCAGCCATAAAGAAGTTACCGCGGGTGCCACTTCCCTGCCTGCGCTAGATGCGCCGTCGCACACCCAGAAGCCGCATCCAGTTGGAAGCCCGCTGTGCGCCAAGCCTCCCTCCCGGGCCGCCTCCCTCCCATGTCAATTGTGCATGCGTATCTTTCCTCCCCCACCGAAGCATTCAACCCACGTGCGGTTTGCACTTGATGCTGCTTTGTTGCCTTTGCTTCTGTTTCTACCGAAGAGCAGCTGGCACAGGAACAGCAGCTGGCACAGGAACAGCAGGAAGCAGCGCGCTGTGCAGAGGGACGCAAGCTCCACAAGCGTTATGTATGCCGCCGAACCAACTCACACGAGAGACAGCACCGTTGCACACAGCAACAGAATTGTGCAGCAGCTCCCCGCTGCTGGTCGCTGGTGAAAAGCCCTGGCCGGCGCAACTGGGTGTCCCTTTCCAACCCACCTGCTGCTGCACCACCGCTACCAGCACGCCAGCGCCTCGCTGCCCCGCTGCATCCGCAATGAGCTTTAGGCCGTACATCATGCGGTTCCAAGTCGTAGGGTCGCCTTCCAGCTCCCGCCTGTACGAGATGAACGATCCCCCTGTCACTGTCCAACACACCATTGAGCTGGCTTTGTGGCCCTCTTTGTGGGGGCCCCCTGTTCAACGGCCTAGAATAGGAAGGAAAGAGCTGCCATAGGCCTTGGGGCCTTTGTGGCAGACTTTAAACCTGGCACCGCAGTTCCCGTCCTGGGGTCCGTTCTCCCCTTGGCCTGTGTGAGCCGGGAACCGTGCCACGTCATTGGCGTGGCCGGACTCCACACACCTCTCAACGAGCGCCACAGCCATGGCAGGCTTCTTTCCGCGGTGCTTGGCAAACCAGTCCGACTGCGGTACATATGGACATGAGCAGTATGCTTAGCGCGTTTACCACTTTGCGCGTCAGCTAGGGTAAAATCCAGCTCCCGTACGGCCAAGAGCGAGGCGTAGGGGTCAACGACCCCCCCTTATGATCAAGCCGTATCCCCATGTACATGGAGTTCCCTCGTCCATGTAAAAGGTCCCCCAACGCTCCCTGGCCCATGCCCAGAACAATGATGAGCGCGCGTGCTCCTAACCCGTAGGGACAGGGTTGGGGCATCGTATAACCCGAGAGTGCGCGATTGAGGAGGGTTCCCTACCTTGAGTATGCCAGCCAGCGGTCCCGTTGCAAGCGAAATGCGTTTCTTTGGGCCTAACGTAGAGAGCGCAAGGGCATGAGCTTAAAAGGTCTCAGCTTGTTAACCGCCGGGGACAGGATGCGCTTCTTAGCACCGTGCTATTTGCTGTATGATGACTCACCAAATGCCCTAGATACAAATTGTTCCAGGGGCTCATTTGATCCATGGAAGACAAGCGGCGGCCTATGATGTTGGATGAAGTAATCGGCAATGTCCCTATGCAGCTCCGGGCACCCTAGAAGTGCGACTAAAGGTAAGGGAGGTGTCCGATGCTCTTGTGGGTAAAATGAAGTAACGAAATTCATGACTGCTTTGCCAGGTGAGAGGAGGTCAACCACACCATCTGTAAACTCTTCGTTCGATCATTGATTGCCCGAGAAAGCGTTACGTACAATAAGTAGTATTAAACTAAGGAAAGAAATTGCTGGCACCTAGTTTTCATCTGTCTTCACGTCTTTTCCAACTTTTCGTGCAATCATTCCAGGAATACTTTGCCCGCATAAGAGGGTGCTATGCATACGCTTTATGGTAATGTATGAAGATCACTAGCGGCAACAGGATTTTTTTTGCTTTCTGGGAAACAACGTGAGGGCAAGGCTGGTGTGGGGAAAAAGATGACTGTAGGTCTGTACGTTCTTTCCTTGCGTGCAGGTACTTGTTTGTAACGTAGTCTTCGCATGAAAACTGACAGTTTTCTACGTAAAGCGTTGAAAACTAAGGTTTTCTGCGAATACGGAGTGTCTTTGCCGTATGGCGTACGAGCCAGTGTGGCTCTTGTGTCGCGGCACGCGACAGTGGTGGCTAATTCGGGTTGTTCGTAGCTACGTTTGGGTGCTGCCGTGAAGCGGTTGGTCTGTAGGCCTTGGTGATCCGCTTCGGGGTAGTGCGCCCTCACCCAGCCCCCGTGTGTACTGTAGGTCTCGCGGGGGACCTCCATGCACCATGCTGGGCCAGATGCGGATTGGCGATGCAGTTGTCAAGCACCCAGGTAAGAAAGGCGCTGCGGGGTGTCAGATAGACCCAGACGGCGGTCTGCACGCATTGCTTAAGATGGGTGGACAGAAGGTTGTGGGCTTGCCCTTGAACGTTCGAAACAGCCGTTTGACCTGGCTCCTAATGAATGATGGGCTATATGGGCTTGTAAGCTTGCGTGCCTGTAAGCTCAACAATCCGCACCACTTGACCAAGAACCTTGTGTTGCGAGAAGGGTGCTTAGTAATTCAGCAGCAATATTAAACTGGGGGTGACTCCAACAAAGTACAAGCTCCGAGTTTTTTATCGCCTCCGTACCACGCCCCAGCACGCGCAGCGTACTGGGCACGCGCAGAAAACTTTTGTGACCTGCAGTTCGCATGAAGTTTGCTGGAATTTGCAGTTTGCTGAAGTACATTACAGTATGCATAAGTCGCATACACCCCGGAGAAGTTTTGTGATTTGCGAGCTCTACAGAAGGTCGTAACTAGTTTTTGGATTCTGACAGGCTGCGAAGGCTCCTCGGCCCCGCAAAGGCGAAGGACGGGGATTATGTTTATCAAAACTTCCTTATTAAAACTTTAAGGCCTACATGCTGATCTCAGTGTGGCAATCTCCTAGTAAGGCTGAGGACAGCTCGCTTGGCACTTGACTAGAGTTACTGACAAAGAAACAACATATGCACCAATATATGATGGGCTTCGGTCTCTGCTCCGGTCATTCCCTGGTGTGGCCCTGCTGCATGCGAGTCCTCCCTCGGGCCTCCGGCGATCGTCGCAGCATCAGCTAAGAATTTAAAGTGGCGCTCTGGGCAGGCAACGTGTTTTGGTGCAAGTGACGGGTAGGGTGGAGATCACCAAGACGTGTCTTCCGCAGCCATGTTGACATGTAGTTATCAGTACGTTAGGTAGTGTAAGGTATTACGGGCCCATCAAGCGCTGCTGACCGCTTTCTTTCTACAACAACACCCACTCGGATACGTTTAGTCTCCAGTACCCTTCCTCCGGACTTCAATAGATCCATTTGGGCGTAGGGTCTTGACGCAATAATCGCTGCTCTTGCACCAAGTAATTGTGTCCGCCATTCAGACTTCCCAATGGCCCTTCCCTGTTCAACTACGTGGCCAAACACAATTATCCCACATGCAGCTAGCCGAGCCTCGCTGGGCCGTGATTCCTGCCGACCAGCAACCTGCAACTACGAGCCCGAGCGATGGGCGCAGCCTGTGGTCAACCCGACATCAGACATTGCACCGCCTACAGCTGGAAGGACCCCAAGCCTATGCCATGTCCTTCGTCATCATATGCTTCGCTTTCCTCCTTGTTGTCGACAGGTAGCATCCGAGTTCCAAGAGACTGGCCAGAGTCCTATCCCAACGGATTGAACACGCGCCTTTTCTATCTTCGGGAATGGATAGGCGCCATCCATTTTCGGGGCTTCTGATGTCTTCTGTGTCTGATGTTTCTGATGTGGTTCATTAGAAGGTGCGATGTGGGTCTTACGCCTATCCATTCCCGACGATAGAAAAGGCGCGTGTTCAATCCGTTGGGATAGGACTCAGACCAGTCTCTTGGAACTCAAGGAGGAAGACATCACACCGGGGCTGCGCCTTACTTCTGGATCGGGTGTTGGGTGCCTTTGCATGTGCCGGCTGGGCGGCAGACTTACTACCCCGCGGATGGAACTCACTCTCAGGCACGGGGTGGCGCAAACGCAGGGACTGTATCTGCCAACTGGGGCCCCCGCGCGGTCTGAACTCATCTAGTGCAGATCTTGGTGGTCTTCCGAAACCGGATGGTGCATTATCTGCACTGATGCTGTGGATGCTGAGGCATTGCAGCGCTGGCTTCGCTCATGCCTCCTTTGATGGGCCTTTACAGTTTACAGTTCTGAACACAGGAAGGGCGTGCAATCATGGACACAGAGAAACGTCTATTACAGTGCGCATAATGATTTCGTAATGATTTCTCCCATTTTGGCTGTACGGGTCTCTGTGTCGATGGGGCAGGCGGCATTTCGCAAGAGGCACCTCAAGGGCAAATGCGCCACGATGACCACCGGCCGCGTGGGAAGGACGTTTTTGCATGCGGACTAGGTTGCGGCACAAGGAGTCTTCTGGCCATGTAGCCAGTTGGAGTACATACGGCATACGCTTCTTGTATTGTCCTTTAAGTGTCGTGCCGTGTAAATACGGATTTGCCCCAAGATCCGTCCCATGTCCCGCGGGACCGTTGTGACGCCAAAAAGCACATACCGTCCAAAAATAAAGGCTGTCCTGATATGCCGTCTGGGAATTGTTGAAGGCCAACCTCCTTTCCTTTAGCGCGGCACCCAGCTTCATTACCTTTTCAAGGGGCACAGCTTAGAAAGTACCAAGTGCAGCAGGCCTTTATGCAGCCAAGGCAGGCACACTGCGATATTTTTTGTTCCTCAACACACCGCTGATCGCAGTTCCCGCCATGGACTCTCAGCTCGCGACGTTGGCGGCCGGTGTCGCGCTCGTGCGCAAGGAGCTGGATGCGATCGATGAGGCCATTCGCGAGGAGCTTCTGTCGTGCTCCGCCCTGCAGAAGCAGCTGGATGCGGCAGCTGTCGAGCTTGAACGGAGCGCCGAGCGCGCAAAAGCCGTGGAACAGGGGGCCATCGAAAAAGCCAGCGAAGAAGAGGATTTGCAGCTCGTGCTGATAGAACTTCGGCGCCAGGTGGCTGCCCTAGATTCGCAGCAAGTCGAGCTCGAGGTGCGGGAGGATGGAGCCGCCGAGCGCGGTCGAAGGTCAAACGTTTTGGCGCCTTTTTGACATGCGTCCAAGCCGCTTGCAGCATGCAAAAGAGCAACGCCATAGTCGGACGCCTTTCAATCCTCTAAAACAAAGAAGAGCTGCAACAGCGATGGACCGCAGCATCAACCGCAGCCAGTTAGTCTTTGGGCTCGAGCAGCATCCGCAATTCGCCCAAATCCGCTGGAGCGTTACTTCCCCCCTCATCAATCACCAAGTTCGTAGATCTGAGCTCTTATCGATGTCCAAACCAGAAACCAAATCCAACGCAGGTGGCCATCTCTAGCGATCGCCGCGAGCTGGAGGCCAAGGCGGCCGCGCTAGAGCGGCAGTCGGATGAATTCGCGCGGGCACATTGCCACGCCGCCTGGCAGGAAGCTTCCCGCACCGCCGAGCAGCACCGTGCTTCGCTGGAGGCAGCCTTGCCAGCGCGGCGAGCGGAGCTGCTCTCCTACAGGTCGGAGTGGCAGTCTAAGAATGCGTCCTTGCGCGAGGAGCGAGCAGCGGCAGCGGCGCTGGAGGCGGAGCTCCAGGGTGGGTTTGAAATCGGGTTCCAACTGGAAGGAGGACAGAACGGACCAGAATTTCAGACACAGTTTTACTGGAACCATGCTCTCGAGGAAACCGGGATTAGGAGAGAGGGAGAGGGAAGAGGAAGAGGGGCCAGCGGGCAGGGCTGTGAGGATAACGGGTCTGGGGGGAAAGACGAACCACGGGTCTGGGAGGGGAAGAACGGCGGGAGCCACCCCTCACCTTCCCGCGTAAGCTCCAACACTGGCCCCAACATAACAAGGCGTCGCACAACAGCTCCTGCCAGCTCCCGAGTAGCCGGTGGGGGAGCCGAGTGAATGGTGTGGAAAATAAGAAAAATTAAGATCAACGCAATCTAGAACTGTCACCCACAGCGTTTAAAATGCAGCAGCTCCAGAGCCGGCGCAGCGCTCCTCCTTTTGGGAAACGGGGGGCATTCGTTCTGTCGCCTCCTGTGTATTGCCGTGCGGCGGCACACTCATCGTCCCGGTTCCCGGTTCCATGCCGCCCTGTGTCAGAACTTCGATCGCGCGCCTCCGCCGCTGCCGCATCGCGTCAGTCGGCATCCGGGCGCCTGGCGGCGCTGTCAGCCCCCGACCACCCCGTGGCGGCCCTCCTGGAGCGGCAGAAGGCTGAGCTGGCGGCGCTGACGGCACAGGGGGAGCAGGTGAGGGCACACGACACAGATGGCCTCGGGGGGGTTGCGGTGCGGACCTTGGCCCCCTCCTCTGCGGCGATATGCCCGGTCATGTGTCGCAGCGGTCATGTGTCGCAGCGGTCATGTGTCGCAGCGGTGCAGCAGGGGCGAAGGTGCTGGTACGCGTGCGATGGCAGCAGCGCCGCCGCGTTTGCGGCGTTGGCCAGGCCTCTGCCTGGCTGACCCCTGGCGATGGTGGGTTCCCTGCCGAAGGTTGGAGACCGAGCACCCGGGTGCGGCTTTCAGGCCGCGTAGTATCAGGCTATATGGCACATCGGCACCCCTCAGCGTGCTCGACGACATGTTTAAAATGACCAACGTTGGCCACATCTGGTCTGGAGCCGGGTGGGGGTTATAGTCTGGAGGCCATCTGAGGGCTCCAGGGAGCGTGGTAGGAGTCCTAACGGCCACCACAACTACGTGTTTTAATTACCGGTATATGTCCTTGTCTCCCTTACCGCGCCCATACCCCTGGCCCTGGTCAGGCTCTGCAGGGGGCCACGACCGCGGAGGGTGAGCTGGCGTCCGCCGAACGCGAGCAGCAGACGTTGCAGCTGGCGGCGAAAGCCATGGTGAGTTGGAGGGGGTGTGGATGCTAACGGCGGGTGCCCCCTCTAGCTAGGGTGCTAGCTAGGGTGCAGCTGGCTTGGAGCCTGGGATAAGAGGGGCTTGCTAGAGGCGGGAGGGCGGGAGGTGCCGGCCCAGCGAACACCCAAGATATCATACTGGATTATTATGATGTACGGTAAGGCCGTACTGCATCTCGTGTTGTTGGTCTCTGCACGCTGCACACCGTCTGGCCCTGGTCAGGAGGAGGAGCTGCAGCTGCTGCAGGCGCGGATCGGAGAGTTGTTGCCGTCTGTGGATTCGGACGACGACGGCGGCGGCGCGGACGGCGGCAGCGGCAGCGTGTACGGCAGTGGTGCCGTCGGCGGTCGCGTGGGGGACCTGCACCAGGGGCAGTGGCAAGGGCCCCCCCCGCCGCCCCCGCCGCCCCCGACAGCGGGTGGCAACTGGCAGCGACCAATGTACGACCCGATCCGGAACCCCCTCCCCCCAGGGGGCTACGGACAGCAGCCGCATCACCCTCAGCCCTATCAACAACATCAACACCAATACCAACACCAACACCAGAACCAACACCAACACCAGAATCAGCAACATCGGCAATTTCAGCAGTATCAGCAACATCAAGGGTTCCGGCAGCACGTTCAGAACGCGACCGGCGAGCAGCAGCAGATGCGGGATCCCAACAGCGGCGGCGGCGGCGGCGACGGCAGTGGTGGCAGTGGTGGCGCTGACAGAGGTGATGGTCGCGGCGGCGGCGACCGCTGCTGGGCAAATCATCATCCGAAGCCGCAGCAACATCATCCCTTTGGAAGGCCGCCGGAAGCCGATGGCTCCAGCTCTGATGCATTGCGGCCTCAGCAGCAGCGGCATCAACAGCATCAACAACAGCAGCAGCAGCCGCGGCGTGAGGGTGTGTCCGTGCTGTATTACATGGTTTCGGAGCCGGAGGACGAGGAGGAGGACGAGCACGAGGAGGGCGCCAGGCTGCCGCCGGCGGAAGGAGGTCGCGAGGGCCACGTGGATGGTGATGATGGCTGGTGTGGGCGGGGAAGAAGCGGCGCCGCCGCCGGTGCTGGCGGCGGACAACACGATGGACGCGTCTTCCCTGAAGTTGACGGATGCTGTCTGGACAGCGATGGGGGTGAGGGAGCCCTGTCGCTCGGCGGCGGGGTCGGCACGGGTCCGCTGCATCGGCCTAGTAACCACCTACGTTCGCGGCGCTGGCGCGGCGCTGGCGCCTGCCATGGCGGCCGCTGGCCGTCACCTGCGACGGCGGTCGGCGGCGGCAGCCGGCGGGACGCTGCGGCCGCCGCTGCCGGCGGCAGTGGCGGCGTAGGTGACGACGATGGCTGGGATGACGTGGACGGCCCTGACGCGCTGGATTTGGGGTCGCTGTCCCAGGGGTTCCACTTAGATTCCCAGAATGTTGATCTCCATGATGACGACGGCGACGGGTACAGCATGCACGACAGGTATGACGACGTCGTGGGTTTTGGGCCCGCGGTGGGTGCGGCTGGGGGTCGCCCGGGGTCCCGCGCCGCCGCCAACCGGCACCGCGTAGGTGGCGGCAGCAGCAGCCTTCCCCCGCCTTCGCGGTGCCCGTCACCTGCTTTCTCCGCGGATTCCGGTGTGAGCCTCCCGGGGAGTGCAGCCACCGCCGCAGCTGGTAATAGCTTCACCGGCACGGAGGGCGCGGGGGGACGAGGGGGCCAGCAGCGGCAGCAGCAGCAGCAGCAAGGGGAGGGTCAGCGGCGGAGGCCGCCGCCACAAGCGGCAGCTGCGGCGGCGTCAGGTCCAAGCCGGGATGGTAGTGGAGGTGACGGCCGTGGCGAGCGGAAGGCGGTGCTATACCAGGAGACGGTGATCACTCGCACTGTTCAGGTGGGAAGGTCCGCGGGATTTGCGGGGCTGGAGATTGTCGTGGAGGTCACCCATGACCCGTGGGTCGTTGGTCCGCGTTGTGTCTGCCTCTTTCACCTGTGTCTGCCGCTTCTTCTCTTCACCCCATTACCTCCTCACCTCGAAAATCTCCTATTCTTGTCCAGTTTCCCCCTTTCGCCCCCTTCCTGCTGCTACCGCTGCTACTGCTAATACTGCTGCTACTGCTAATACTGTTGCTACTACTGTTGCTACTGCTACTGCTGCTATTACTGCTGCTGCTGCTATTGCTATTGCTATAGCTACTGCTACTGCTACTACTGCTGCTACTACTGTTGCGACTGCTATTGCGACTGCTACTGCTGCCACTGCTTCATGTCCAGGCTTCTCCCAACACGGTGCTCCGAAACACCGTCACAGTTCACGAGCTGCAGTGTTCCCGGGAGGGCCCCCGGGGGGTTAGGACGGCCGGGGGGGCCCCCGGGGGGCCCGGGGGCGGCCGTGTAGCGAACGCAGGTGGGATGACGGCCGGAGGGAGAGAGGGTTAGGGCTTAGGGTTGTGGTGGGGGCGTTAAGGATGAGGGAGTATGTATATGTATGTATGTGATGTACCTATCTATGTATAGGCCGAAGCCCTCAGACCTCCGAAAAAATCTGACTACTGCGCCCCTGCACTTTACCACAGTCCTCGACTGCCCTAGCACTCCTTCCCTGATCCGTTCTGCCTTCGTCCCATTTTCGCTTCTCCTTCGGAACGTTCTAGGCCCCCGGTGCTTCAACCGGACGCCTGTACAGGGCATGTGTGTCCCTCTTCCTCCTTTTTCCTTTCTCAACCCGGTCTTGATGCCCCGTGTTGCAGCATCACAGTGGTTCCGCTCGGCTCGGCGGTTTGTCTCTAATTTCCCTGGTGGTTTATTCACATGCTTCTGTTCCGACCCGTGTGTTTTTGTACCTTTGTTCCCTCGGCACGTCCTTCGGCACGCATGTCCTTTTGGTTTCCTGCTCATTCCCATTGTTAAATGTCTTCAGTGACTCTCCTTTAGCGCCCACCACCACCACTTCCTCCCGGGCGGTGTCTCCTCGCCTCCCCCCTCATTGCCACTCGCTCGTTGCAGTCGTGGTGCGGGAGGAGCTCACTCGCATTCAGCGAGCGCCGTCCAGACCAGCTGCCCCTGCGGAAGGCGACAACCCAACAGCCGCAGCAGCAGCGGGGTTCGGTGCAACCGCCGGCGGCGGCGGCGCTGCACCCCCGGCCGGCAGACCGCCACCGCCACCGCCACCGGTCCCCTCTTTGCTGGCTCTCCCGGCGCCTGAAAGCAGCGGCCCTCCCACAACGGCAGCGGCGCCGTCGATTCCCGCTGTCCTGCAGGAAGAACACGACGCCGGCGGCCCCGGTGCCGACGGCTCCATGCGCGATATGTGTAGGGGCCCAGCTCCCTACAGATTTATGGGAGCCGGTGGAGGCAGCAGTGACGGCGCCGGCGGCGCTCTCCAGGGATTCCCTTATCGCCAGACAACCGCCACAGGAGCCTCTGACGGCCATGTCGCCGCCAGCGTGTCCCAGCCGCGTTACCAGCCGCCGCCGATTACCGCCGCCACCAATCACATTCCGCCGCCGCTTCCGCCGCGGCTGCTGCCGCCAACAGCCGGGCCACCTTCACAGCCGTCGCAGCCATCACAGCCACTGCAGCTGCAACCTGCACATCCCGTGGAGCAGGAAGAGCAGCGGCAGCAGCAGCAGCCGGGGGAAGCTCAGTTCCCCCTCGGTTCTCATGTTTCCTCTATGCGCCGCGATCTCCTCCTCCAGCAGCAGCAGCAGCAGAACCCCCTTGCCCCCGGGCGACCTGAGTCATGCATGACGATTCTAGCGCCATCACATCCAGCACTGGCCCTGCAGGGTAAGGCACAGCCGGCGATGCAAGCACCGCATCACCCACTTCCACCACCACAGCAGCAGCAACCTCAACCGCTACAGCCGGGTCCTGGGCCGCGGCAGCACCCACAGCACCAGCAGCAGCACCAACAACAGCACCAACAACAGCACCAACAGCAGCACCAACAACAGCACCAACAACAGCACCAACAGCAGCACCAACAACAGCACCAACAGCAGCACCAACAACAGCACCAACAACAGCACCAACAGCAGCAGCAGTTGGCCAACGAGTGGGTGCTCGTCCACCCCCACCCAAATCCGCCGCCCCAACAGTACCAACGGCCATCGTACGATGTGGCAGCACACATGCACACGCAGGTGCAGGTCCAGTACGATGGCAATGAGCAGCGGATGGGCGTTGGTGCCGGCAGCAGTGGCAATCTGAGTGGCATCAGCGGAAGCGGGGCCGCTAGGGGAGCGGGAGGAGGGGGTTCCGCGGCTGGCAGTGGTGGATGGCCGTCTCATCCGCCTCAGCAGCAGGAGCACCACCAGCCCCAGTTGGCCTTCGGTCAGCAGCCAAGGCAGCAGCACCCGTCAGCAGGTCCCCCTTCGGCGATGGCGATGCCTTTGCACCCACCAGCTCCAGGCCCAGGTCCAGCTGCACAGCCGCAGCCGCAGCCGCAGCCGCCACCACCACCACCACAGCAGCCACCACGGAACCCGCTACCCGGGCGGCAGCAGCAGGGGCCACAGCGCAATGCTGCGCCCCAGATGCCGGTTGCTCAGATGCCGCCCGCGCGAGGCCACCAGGCCGATTTGGCTGAGGGCCAGGTGGGACATCAGGGGCCTGCCTCGGGCAAGCCGAGCCGGAAGCGCACACGAGGAGGTGTGGGGGCCGCTGCAGCTGACCAGCCTGGCGGCCGCGGTGAGGGCGGCGGCGCTGAGGGGGGCGGCAACGGAGATGGAGCGCGTAGGAGTGAGATGCCGGCGCCGACGCGGGGCCGCGGTATTAGTACGTGTGCGGCGGTAGTGGGACGTAGTGGTGCAGCCGGGCGGGGAGGGGCCGGGGGGCGGGCACGGGGGAAAGCGGCGGCAGGGACTCGGGCTGCACCAGCCGCGCTGGATGTCTTTGGCGGCAGGGACGAATGGCAAGGGCTGTAGCTGGAAGTAGCAGGACTGCCTCACCGTCGCGGTGATGACAACAACATCTACCTTTCCGCTCCTTCGTGCGGTGTGCTTGCTTCGTGCGCTGGGAATCATTGTCCCATAGCTAAACACGTCTAGACAACGTAGTAGCGAGGGGGGGTTTGGATACACGAGTGCAGTGTTCGCATCACTTTATTCAACTCAACGCTCTGAAAAACGATGCGTGACCCACGCGAGGTCGCACAGAACGACCACATCGGGTGAGAGTTTCTTTCTGGAATGTTTGAAGTGCGCGATTCGCTTGGTGCAGGGGCAGGAGATAAGTTGGTTTCTCATCACTCACCCCATGTGTGGATGCTTTTCAAGCGCATCCGTTCCACAAGGGGATATGTTGGCCCCCCCCGTCAGACTCCCTTTGAGGATCCTGGGAACTTCGTTGGACACCTCACTACCGGGAACTTTAGGGGACAGATACCCAAAAAGGGGGGAATGTGTGAGGAGCACTTGATGGGGGGCTCACGCCATGATGATGAAGCTGGGAGTGTACACCCACATTAGAATGGCAGAGGTGATGGGTGTAGTCGGTAGCTGGTGTAGTGTATGAGTGCTGTTAGGATAACTCAGGTACTTGAAGTACTTGTTGTGGTATGTCCTACACAAATACATGTTGCGTATCATGCGTATGGAGGCTCATTGCGTAAAGCTTAATGCGGCCTAAGCTGACACACACCAAATTGATTAATCGCATGAAATTACAATCGGCATAGATGTTGTATGTGTTGGTCGCATACTCAGTTCGTTAAGCTTCACGCAGTCAATAGAGAATAGCATGCTTGGCCGCACGCGGGGGGGCCTTCCGCAAACAGAGATCGCATCAGGCGCCGCCGTCCACCGCACCAACGATGCATCATACCATCAACTAGTTGCCAGAAAGGCGGCGGCAGGAATAGGAGCATTCATACGCGCACGCAATTAGAACCCCGCCGTGAGATGCGTCGGTGGCTGTGAGGCAGGTGGGGACATGCCTGGGAGGCTGAAAGGGCTTCCGGACGCATAAATCGCACCAGGCGCCGTCGTATGCCGGACCAACGATACAATGAGGAGTACTGGGTGGAGGACGGGGACGCGAGGCGGAAATTAGAGGTAATGAGTGGCAGTCTTGAGTGGAACGCGTTGTATGTGAATTGTGTTGTGTATATGATGTGTGGAACAGGGGGGTATATCTTCACCCGTGGCAGCTACCCGGCGAAACCCTGCCTTCCCCGGTATTTCGGGGCACCCTCATCCAGTCACCCTGGTCAACTCCTCAGTGGATCGCTCAGGTTCCGCACCCACCACCGGCATCCAACGGAATCTGCCGGATCGACGGCGGCTCAACTCCATTCCTGGTCAGCTCGCAAGATCACTGTTTCGACTAGGGGTACTATACCCTCCACCATCGGAAGGATCTCCCGGGAGCAATGGTCCATGCCTTACGAATAGTGCCTAACCTAGTACTTAGTTTGTATATATATAGTACTACAAATACTAACAAAGCACGAGGTACATACAAGTACCTGGACTAATCTCTTTTCTGGGGTGCGGTTGTTTCCAAGAGATTTGTGTGTGTGTATAGTCGTTGCGGGCACCATGTGGTTGGGGTAGGGGTTCACCAATACATGGCCGGGTGTGTTGTCAGGCGTTGGTGGGTTCTCAGCCCGAGTGAGGGGCCCCAAACTCGCGTGTAGGTTTTTACAGCTTACTACTAGCTGCTGCAACTAGCTGTATGTGCGCCTGATGCAGTGGGCTTTTGCTTTCCGCACGGTACGCAATGTCCTCCTAGCTAGGTCGCAGAGCTTGATGGCAGCACCGCAGCGTGCAGTGTTTTGGTAGATGTCAAAATGATGGCGGCTGTAGGGGGGGGTTTGGGGGCCCCTAGAGATGTGAAATGAAATGAAACGAAAAAATGATGAGATAATGATAGGCAGTACAGTGCTTGGTATTGGAAAGGATCACTGCTCGATCTCAAACACCAGTTTTAAACACATTGAGCAGGATGGAGCTCCACAGCACTCTAACAGACGTTTCATAAACGAATCCCCCCGCCGATGACCTCCCGCGTACCCGCATCAATACCAATACAACGCCCATGGCCCCCTCCCCGGCTTTTACGGACACACCCGCACTTGTGTGCGGAACTTGTAACTTGTATTGCACGGCACACAGATAATTATAAATATGCGCAAAGCCGGGATCTGCCAGGATCTCGAGAGGGATGCCTTTCCAGCCGCGAGCCACCACAAATGGTCTCAATACCATTTCATGCTGGATACATTTCCTCGATACAGTCCCCGCTAGCCGCTCCGAACTCCCACTGCGTCATCATCACCACAAGATGCGCCTTGCTTGGTGCTTTCCGTGCGCGTTCGTTGGGTGATTCGTAACATGCAAAAAAAGGTTGTAATCCCATTTTCTGACCGCTAAGTACGATGTACATGTATTGACATGTACTGCCGGCCGTACACATGAGGGGCATTCTGTACAACATACCCATGCAGCCAACGTGTACAGCGATGAGCAGAGTTCAGCAAAGCGATGAGAAGGCTCCTGCCGCCGTGAAACGCACAGCGAAACGAGAGCGTTCCTTTGCCCGCCTGGTCGAGCGGGAGGAAGGGTGCCTTCTTCCACAAATGAATAGTAACCGCGGAGCGATATGTGCAGCGAGAACGAGGATCCCATCCGCGTTCTCAGCACACAGAACGCCGCCGTCAACATGTCGGCGGTCAACATAACATGTCAACATGTTTTCTCTTACAGCGCGGTTGCTTTAGCTTTTTCCAATTTTAACGTCTGAAAAAACAAGTTAAAACACAGTATGCAACGCAGGATTGCCTTTCCTTACAAAGCCAACCTAAAAACAAAGCATGACAATAATCTTAACAGCTGAAATCAGGCCCAGATTCCAAATACGCAAATACTCCTCTTCGCGCTCCCTCGCAACAAGAGGAAAGGTTCGCAGCAGGTAAGGAGCAAAAGTAGCATCAGCGACGAATTATAAGGCTGAAAAATCCATCGTGCACAGAGCAAAAGAACGACATCCATCCCGCATACCCTATAATACTTATAAAACTCCTACTCTCGCGACCTCGGTAATAGACGCTGCCACGGCGCCGTCTCAACACATGCATCACACAATGTGCCATGCGCGTACCTCCCCCCTTCCTAAAAGCCCTTCGCCCTTCATTCTACCCAAATCCCCAAACGTATGCAAGTAAAGGCGCACAGCGGCAAAAAAAAGGAAACGAATTCCTATTTTAAAAACGAACTGACGAATGTGAGCTCAAGACGGAAGCCATAAACGGGCGGATGAACGCACGCGCGCACGCACAAAAGAAGCTGCTGCTGCTGCTGCTGCTGCTGCAAGTGTAAATATGTAGCATAACACAGAAATGGCCGCCAAGCCCCACCCCGATTACCAGACCATACCGCACTCAACATGCACAAGCACTTGTGTTGTCGCAACGCCACAACACGCAACCCAGTTCTCCCGATGAAGCCATACGGACCACGCGGCCCACTGGGGCCCACACAGGACCCTACGCCCCCCCCCCCCGGGGGGAAAAGCGCCACCGCCTCTCCTCTCTCAAGCAGTATGAGCCAGCAAGCACATAACCCCCTCACACACACAGTGCCGCCCTCCTGCAACCAACCGCCCTTTTATCCCCCTCCTCCTCCTCCCCTCCTCCTCTTCCCCTCCTCCTCCTCCTCCCCTCCTCCTCCTCTTCCCCTCCTCCTCCTCTTCCCCTCCTCCTCCGCTTCCCCTCCTCCTCCTCTTCCCCTCCTCCTCTTTACCTCCTCCTCTTCCCCTCCTCCTCCTCTTCCCCTCCTCCTCCTTCCCCCCGAGGTCCTTAGTACATGAGCTCTGTGTAAAGGGGGTCCACGGACCTCTGCCACCTGGTCTCGTACAACTCCAATAAGTGGTCGGCCTGGGAGGGGGGAAGAGGGAGGGAAGAAGAGGGGGGGGGATTCAGAGGTGTTAAGGAAAAACACAAGCGACCCTTCCCCCGTGTTTGCTCTAATGGGGCGCGGGAATTGCAGTCAAGTGTGCGCGTGACTGGCGGGGTTGTGGGTATGGCGGTGTACGTGTACGGGGTGGATCCCCCTCCCCCCTCTTCCCGCCCCCGTACGGCACCTGCGTTAGTCCCGTTTCCGCAACCACCTCGAGCCGTTTCAAGAAGTTGACCTCGTCGTGGCCCCGCCGCTGCAGACCCCCCCGGGCGATAGAGACCACCTGAAACACACATACATACATACATACATACATACATACATACATACATACATACACATACATACATACAGAGGTGTAGCAACAGCAGGTCAGCCAGGGTGAGGGGGTGAGGGTAACGTAACAAGGGGGGATGAGGAAGAGTTCGTTCGCCAAGAACCACGAACACCGTGTAGAGTACACACGCACGCGCTTGCTCACCCTTTTCCCTTCCCTCATCCCCATCGTCAGTGGTTCGTCTTGGTACGTCAAACCCCTCCCCCCACCCCCCTCCCCCCCCACCTGCTTTGCCAGGTCCTGCACAGAGCCGCCGCGGAAGCGAGTTCTCAATCCGTACCGAGTCACCTCCGTACGGAGATAGTCCCGCTCCGAATCCGTCCAATCGGAAACGAGCGCCAGAGCCTTCGTGCACCGGGAGATGGGGAGGGGGAGGGAAAGGGGATGGGGAAAGCCTAAAACACAATTGTACGACGGAGCAACCGGGTAGGGGGTGACGTGTGTGGTATGCAGGATCTTGACAAGCAGCTGCCCGGTTGGGAAAGATGAAGGTGGGTGTTAAGGCAGGAGCCACAGCCACACGACGCACCGTGGAAGAAAACTCAGGAGCCCACATACATAAACACGCCGTCGCTGTACTGTACGGCAATTATCCTCCCTTACCCAGCCCTGCCCCTTCCCCCGGCCCCCCGGAAGGGCTCCCCCCCCCTCAAGACCCCCACCTGCCGCTGGGCTTCCTCGTCGTACAACAGCCCCACCCAGAGGGCGGGCAGGGCACACAACATGCGCCAGGGCCCGCCGTCCGCCCCCCGCATCTCCAGATACTTCTTCAGCCGGACCTGAAGGGGGGGGGAAAGGGGGGTTTGCGGGTTTGAGTGTGTGTGTGTGTATGTAAGATGTGTGGAACAGGGGGGTATATCTTCGCCCGTGGCAGCTACCCTGCGAAACCCTGCCTTCCCCGGTATTTCGGGGCACCCTCATCCAGTCACCCTAGTCAACTTCTCAGTGGATCGCTCAGGTTCCGCACCCACCACCAGCATCCTCCCCTCCGTGTACCCCCCCCCTTCCCCCACCTCGGGGAATATGGTGGTCAGGTGGTTGGCCCAATCCGCAATAGTCGGGTACTCCCCTGGAGCAGGACGGTGAGGGAGGAGGGGGGAGGAGGGAGGAGGAGGGGAGAGGGGGGAGGAGAGGGAGGGGGGGAGAGGGGGGAGGAGGAGGGGGGTTTATAAAACGTTTTGAAAGGGAAGGGGGAGAAGAAGGTTGACGATCAATCCCTAAGTGATAACGCCCTGACCCCCGGCCCCCCCCCCTTCCCTGGCAACCTCCCTCCTAACCACCTCGCCCACCTCACCCACCTGACCACCCCCATCCCAGCTGCGTCATATCATATCCCAACATACGCTAGATTCCTACCGGATATCGGAACGATACAACCCGGTTCGCCCTTCAGCACCTTTCCTCACGGACCTCCTCAACCCCCTCACCCGTCTCAAACCCAATCGCGCCCTCGGGATGTCTCACAACGCTGCTGCCCCCCTCCCTCTCCCTCTCCCTCTCCCTCCCACCCCCGCAACCTTCATCGACATCGTTTATTCCCTCCGTATTCGCCCCCCTCCTTCCCCCCCTTCCACCCCCTTAGAATGTCTCCACATATATACATATATACATATATACATATATACATACATACACACACGCTGCCCTCCCCTCCCCTTTCCCCCCCCCCCGGGACAACCTACCGGGCAGTGCGGGCAGCTTCCCCGCCATGAAGTCCCGCCAGCTCATACCCAGCGCGTTAATGTACTGCCCGTTGCGGTACACAAAGTACATCGGTACGTCCATAGCGTAGTCAACGTACCTGCGTACGGCAATATGCGCGGCGGCGTTTATCCATGCAAGGGTGCCCAGAGTGCCTCCGCCACCATCCCCCCGGTAATGGAAAGGGGGGCCGCCCGAGGAGGGAGGGCGAGGAGGAGGTGGAGGGGCTCCAACCCCCTCCGGCCTTTCCCCCCCTCCCTTCAACAGGAGTTCAACACGAACTCCACATACACACGAACTCCACATACACACTTGAAGGTATGACAGATCAAATTGCAATTACAATATTACAAACAAAAGTTATTAAGAATGCGCGCGATGTCAAACACCCGACATGTACATTTTCAAGTACCTTTCAAAGCTCATGTCGTCCCGGAAAACAAACGGCAGGTTTCCGGTTCGAGACGCATCGACGTCAGTCCACACATGGCCACGTGTGCTCACGAAGCTGTGCCGATGAGTTCAGTGATTTTCCCGGGGCGGCGGGCGCGCCCGTGTGTGTGTATGTCCATCCAGGAGGGGGGAAGGGAGGAGGGGAAAATTAATCATAATCAAGTGGTGAGCAACATAGGGGCTCTGCGACACACAACATGGCACATCAGGTCAGCTACGGAAAAGGTGCACACAACACACCCATGTACACATACACACACAGCGGGTTCATACACCCGGGTCTTCCCACCCACCCCCCAAAGCACGGCACATCAAGACTCTTCAGCCAAATTCCCCCTCCCCACCCACTCCCCCAATACACATATGGCTACACCCGGAAACCCCCCCTCCCCCCGGCCCCCTTCCCCCGACCTCACCCCGTGGGCCGACCCTCCTTGAAAGGCGAGTTGGCAAACAACGCATTCGCCACGGGTTGTAACGCCAACCCAATTCGGAACTTCTCCACCATATCCCGCTCGCTCTCGAAATCCAAATTCACCTGAAGTTTTAACGGTCAGCGTGGCCATGGCGACATCAATACATGCAGACAGACACACCGGGAAGGGAAACAAATTCATCCCCCCAGACGAAGCGAAAGTCGATGCGGGAAGTCGGGGTAGCGAAGTTTGTGTGAGTGTGCGTGGGTGTATGTGTGTGGGTGTGGTGTGGTGGGGGGGAGGTAGGATGATTGCGTGTGGGGGAGGGGGAGTCCGGGGCTATGGGCCACATGATGCGCAATCCTGATGTGCGATGCAGGGGGAGGTGTAGCGGCCACAGAATTCGACCGGTGTTGCGGCACACACACACACACAGGATGGGCCGTGTCGCACGTGGTATACTTGAAGCCGCCGGAAGGCCTCCGGCGATTATGGTTATGGAAGTTACTGGTGGGTTACTGGTATGGTGAGGAGCTGCGGAAGGCAAACAGACGGTGGCAAGGATGGCCACCGAGGTCGGGTCAGGGGGCTCGGGCCCCCATAGAGCCGAGGCCGAGGCATCTCTCTCGCAACCTCCCACCTCCCCCCCCCTCTAAAAAGACGTATGTAGCTTTCAGCGAGGACAAAAAGCTCTTCCCAGTTGTTAGCGTCAGCATATATATTTTCGTCGGATACGTCATACCTGGACCGTACATGTACGGAACATCATGTCAAGCCCCATAGACCCCACTGTGGGCATGTACGACTTCATGAGCGAGTAACGTCCCTGTCCGTCGTACAAGTGGGGTTGTGGAGTATAAAGAGGTAAAGGGGGGGAAGACGAATCACGAACGAGTGAAGGTAGGGGGGGGGGTAAAAAAGTGTTCAAGCGTTCAGAGAACCACAGTTTCCGCGCTTTTTTTAAGAAACAAAGGCCCTCCTTTCCTCACACTCCCATCCACGCCCCTCTCCCTCCCCTGTCCATCACTCAAAGCAAATGGCACACGACGACCCCGTATGTAATATATAGATACACCCCGTATGTGCCCCTTCCCCTTCACCCCTCCTGGGAAGCTGCGGGGAAGCCAAACGGCATGCCTGGCATTGGCGAGATACAAATCCCACATCCAAAATCCAAAATTCAAATTCAAAAAGGACGTCCCCCCACTACCCCCCTTCACCGCAGCCATCAGGTACCCACTCCCCCCATTTTGCCCTCGCCCTTCCTGGTGCTTCGGGCGGCGGCAGCTGATGAACCTTTGCTGCTCGCACCCAACCCAGTCCCTAAGCCCCGGCCCTCCCCTCCCCTCCCCTGCTTTCCCCACTTCCGGAACTCCAGGGGGGGGTCGGTGATGACATCACACACCGCTTAGAACTCACTCATTAGGGGCAGTTTCTTCGGACCTCTTGGACACCACCGGCAAAGTTCACTTCCTCACTTCCTCACGCATGTTGTGTTTTCCCTCCCCTGCTTTCCTCCCCCCGCCCCAACACACACACACACACACGCACGCACTCCTGCTTGCCTTGGGCATGACGGGTATGTCCTGAATGGCCCACTTGGGGTCGAACCCCACCCCCAGGAACCCGCAATGGAGCTCCTCACAGATGGCCTTCACCTGGGGGGGGGGAGGGCGAACCACACACGACTGAAGCTGCTGCCAGGGCAAGAGTGTACCAAACGTAGAACTGACCGAAAGGCGTCCGTAAAGACGGGGCAGGGTAGGTCAGAGGTGAGGGGATGATGAAAGGGAAAATAAGGACTGTGCGGGACGAGCCGTCCTAAGCGCGGGTTGGACAGGGGACAGGGGGCAGGGGCGCGGCGGGGGCAGGGCAGGGAAGGGAGGAGGGATGGAAGGGGGAAAGGGGGAGTGGTGGCACATTCACACACGGTGAGCGTATGGGTAGGGTGGAATGCTGGACATCGGTGCCTCAACCCCACTACCACTACCACTACCATTACCACGCCATCACCCGTTGGGGATGAAGGGATCCATGACCCCCCCCGCGCACGTTCCCTAGGGAGACGTGATGGATGCGCAGCAACGTCCCCTCCCTTCGGACCTTCCTTCCAACCCAAACCCTCCCGCTAGGGAGGGCAGCGGAGAACGGCAATGGTTCTTCAAGACAGGATCGGTTCTTCGGGACGCTCTTCCTCCTTGATCTTCGGCGCCGGGGCGCGCTATATTTGGGCGCGGTGGGATTGGGGGAGGGGGGAAAGGAAAGAGCTTATCAACTCCCAACACCCTTCCTATGTGAGTGACTCTACCTGGTAAAGGTGGCTGTTAACCTCGGCACACGTCTTATGGATGGTATCCACAGGCGCACCGCTGAGCTCAAATTGGCCGCCAGGCTCCAGGGTTACGCTTTGGCCGTCCAAGCTGACGCCGATGATGCGACCGTCCTCCATAATGGGCTCCCACCCAAACCTCGCCTCAAGCTTGCGGAGAACTTGGGCAATCTGATCATAGCTCATTCGACTATTGTCGTGGAGATTAAAACCCAACTTTTCGTGCTCTGTGCCGATCCTGCGTCAACAAAATTTGGTTTGTGGCCCCGAAGAAACGATGCGCCAGGCGTGCAACGAAGAAGTAATTCCATACAGTTCGTGACGCGGAGTCGTAGGAAAGAGCGTTGGGAAACCTTAAGAGCAGTCTGTGTGGATCGTCCCGTATCAACATTTCTCATAAAACAGCTTACCTCCATTGGCTTTTTGGTTTGCATCCAGATTTGAGGTAATCAACAAGCTCCTGCTTTAAAAGAGGCTCCGTCCGCCGCTCTGCCACCGCTGGCGCGTTCGCATACACCGGCGGGAGCCGAGCGGCGTGCGGAAATCTCCGCGCACCACGCGAACATGATCCAACAGTCTGTCGGTCAAGACCCGACACAATTGGGCGCGACATGAAGTCGCTTTGCCTCAGCTGCGAGAGGCAACGTTGCGCAACAAGGTGGTATCAGCTTCGTAATATTCCTACAGCTCTTCACAGATGGATAATATGTCAAAAAATATATTTTGCAAGCAGGTAGAGATTTCACGACCAAATACCGCATTTCGCCAGTCTGCGAGTTACATGCATAACCTTGCAGCTGCAGCTCGTCATACTTCGTAACCACCTTGGCCGTACACGTAATCCTGGCCTCCTAACTCCCATCCTCAACCAATTTCCAGCTACACATGCTCCTTTACAAGCCAACACCTTTTAAAACCCTTTCCTTACTCCAAATTCCGCTCTCGCGCTACATCGCCCCGTTCCCGTTCGTATCTTCCCCAGCCCGCGCCGCCTTTCCCCACCCAGACGACGACGCCACCAGCGCAACTCCAGCCTCGGCCTCCTCCGCCGCCTTCCCCTCCTCCACCACCACCTTCTCCTCCGCCCGCTCCCTTGCCGTACTCGCCAGCGTCACCCACACCGTCGCTGTCACCACCAGCGCCCCGCCGCCGTACGTCAGCCCCCCTGGAGGCTTCATCACCCCCGCCAGCCAGCCAATCACTGACCCCACCAGTGGCTCCATTTGAAAGGCCAGGGCCACCGTCAAGGGGGACAGGTAGCGCAGGAGCGTGTTAAAACCTGCACAACGCGGTCGTACATTCGGGGGTTAGGGTGGGCCCGGGGAAGGGGTGCCCGGGGTGAAAGGGGACAGTGCGAAGCTGAAATCGGGAAAGCAAACCAGCCAGTGTAGGACGATTTCCCCTATATAGTACTAAAACAAATTCTGAACAGTATCCCTGACACTCACTCGTTCGTTCGCTCACTCACTCACTCGCTCACTCACTCACTCACTCACTCACTCACTCACTCACTCACTCACTCACTCACTCACTCGTTCGCTCACTCACTCGTTCGCTCACTCACTCACTCGCTCACTCACTCACTCGTTCGCTCACTCGCTCACTCACTCGCTCACTCACTCGCTCACTCGTTCGCTCACCTGTGTGCCCCACGATTCCCGGGCCCAATGCCAGGTACGTCACCCAAGGGGCGTAGTGGCGACTGAGCAGCCAACCGAACGCTCCCCATCTGGGTAGTGGGGGGAGAGGGGAAAGGAGGAGGGAGGAAGGGGTGTCGGGGTTGGGGAGATAGGACACGGGAAGCCGCACCGACAGAGTCACGACTTGCTGCTGAATCGGTAGTGAAAAGGAAAGGAGGTAGAGAGAGATGTGTGCATGTATGTATGTATATCACACAACAGTGAGCGTAAAAGCTAGTTTCCTAGGAATGCTGCAGTAATGGAATGATCCGTACGACGTGCAGCCACGTCATCACCAACTGCTTGAGGGGAATCACGACGCCTGAATGCCGCCGCGGGGTGACAGAAGGTAACGCAGTAATTATTCAGGGCCCCCCTCGTACGGCATCTGGTGGTGCAGGAGACCCAAATGGCCCGTCCGCCGCGAGGAAGAGGTTTTGGGGTTATCGCCATATTCCAGGGCGGTTAACGGTTAACGGTCCGCAACGGTCAGCGAGCCGCCCGCCGGGGGCAGCCCCCTCCCTAGGTACCCACCTGCCCGCGCCTCCTAGGGTTACTGGCTCCAGGACCAAACCACCTGCAGCGCGGGGCAGACGGGGGGGGGAGGGAATCATATATGCACGGAAATAGCCGGAAGGGGGGAAGAAAGAACAGGCGGGGTGGTATGTCGGTTGATGGGTTGCCGCAGCAAGGTGATGTTGGTTGCAAGCGCTAGATCAGTTGTGCGAGTGAGATGGCGGTACTTCAGGACTTGCTAGATATCTGAATGTGGTTTTAAAGTTTTCGGGTTTTACAGGGTTTTGAAGGTTTGGAAGGGGGAGTTTTCAAAAGGAAGACATTTCTCGCGGTCTGAAAAGATTGTGTGAACATTTATTATTTCTTTCCAAATAAATGTAAATAGGAGGCTCGTTGTAAGTTAACGTTACGTAGCATGCAATGCAAGTCTTCCGCAATGCACGATAAACGTACGCATCTCCGCTCTCGCCCACCTTCCATCATCTGGAAGCCCCCCTCCACTTCCTTTCCCCTTGTTTCCCGTCCAGCCCCTCCTCCTCCAACCCCTCCTCCTCCTCCTCCTCCTCCCCCCACTACCAACCAGCCTGCCAGCTCCCCCCCCCACTCACACACAGTAAGGCCCACCGCCGCCACGCTGGTCACGGGGAACGCGTACAGGAAGATGGGCATCCACTGCCTCAGCCTCCGGCCCACGGAAAGGTAGCCCACCTGGGCATGCATGCAGGCAGGCACATACATACGTACATACATACATACGTACTTCTGGAGGTGCTAGGAGCTGTGTTTCGTGGCAGAGTCTTCCCGTTCGCGGGTTCGCCTGTCTGTCGCTCTGGCCTTCGAGGTGTTGTCCACGCTGGGTTGGCGCGGTGTCCCTTTTCTTTGGTTGGTTTGTTGCATCTCCCCCCTGGAACAGCCCAGGGAGGGAGAGGTGGAGAATGTCAGTAGTCTTAGTGTGGGTGGCTGCAAGGCGGGGCCTTGTGGTGTCTAGCGCTCTGAGCCTGTCCTTTCTTGGAGGCTGTTGTTCGGTTCGTTGGCTGTGACAGGAGGTCTGCCCCATCAGGGATGCCCAAGACACTTCCCCCGGGCCCTCGGATGCTGAGTGGGGGCCGGGTGGGTGGGGGGGTGGGTGGGGGTTCAGCAGGGTTCTAACCACAGCGGACGGGGGCGCTGCTGAGCGGCTGGGTCGCGTTTTGGCAGATCCTGAGTCGGGGTCGGGGTCGGGAGCACACAAGAGTAGCCGCGACTTGTGCTGTGTGTGCTCCCGACCCTTGCGCTGTGTCTCGCCTTCGGGCCCCGGCTCTCGCGGCCCACAGTGTAATCTAACTTTTACCTACCTACTACCTACCTACCTACCTACCTACCTACCTACCTACCTACCTACCTACCTACCTACCTACCTACCTGCCTGCCTGCCTGCCTACCTACCTACCCCCCACCCTACCCCCCACCCCTAAGCAGCTCCTCACCATCACCGCGGAGGCCAGCAGGGACGACAGGTCCCCCACCAGCGCCACCTTCTCCTCCCCGCCCCCAAAGGCCCCCACGGACAACACGATGGCGCCTGAAGGGGCGAGGAGTTGGGGGCGGGGCGACCCGCGGGTCAGGTGGGTCAGGTAACTGGAGATTCTACAAAGCATGTGCGTACACATACATATGTACATTCATGTGCCAGTTCCCCGTCCAATACATCTCGTACAAAACACACACGCATGTCTGTGTGGTTTGGAACGGAGCACGGCATACCGTACGCAGGTACGTACGGAAAGGGGGACGTACGGGGACGAGCAACGAGGAACGGCAGAACAAGTCCCTTTCCCTTCCTTCTTCCTTCCCCCCTCCCCCCCTCCCTCCCTTCCCCCGGCCCGCAAACCCGCTACCCGCGTACCTGCCAGCCCCAGCAGGGTGCCCCCCACCTCCCCGCCTGACAGCTGCACCCCCTGGAGCAGAGCCCCCAGGGCCAGGAGCACCGGCGTGGCGGACACCAGGAGCAGCGAGTGGGTGAGGGAGGTGTGCTGCAGGCCCCACACCCAGCTGCCGAAGTGGACCGCCAGACAGACGCCACTGCCCGCCAGCCAGCCCGCGGCACGAACCACACGAACGCGGTCGGAGGGAGACTGTGCGTGTGCGTGTGTGTGTGTGTTTGCACGGGGGAGGGGAGCGGAGCGGCGGGGAGCGTGTGTTTGGAGGGGTAAGAAGAGGTGAAGGAGAGGACCGCCGGTATGGGGGTGGGGATGGGAGGGGGGTCGACGAGGGAGGGGAGATGCGGGCCAGGGAGGGGGGTGGGACAACCATGTGATGTCGTGATGGTGACGACGATAATGCGAAGGTAAGCGAGTCAACGGCTCCTCAACGTCCAGGGCATCAACTCGATGTTCGTTAGTTGTTGATGAGGGGGGGCGTGGGTGTATGTCGTACCCCACACGCTCCACAGGGTCTGGCCCCTCCACATCCTCACCACAACTACCCCACAATTACCCCACAGGCCCTTCAAGTCCTAACTAAAACCTACACATACATACAGACATCTGTAATCTAAGTCATACATACATACATACATACATACGTACGTACGTACATACATACACGGGGACAGGCTGGTGGTTGGAAAAGTGGCCTCCGCTGGTCTTGGTCGTCTGCGCTTACATCGTTTGCTGTGTAACGGTTTGCCGTATAACGTTATCGTTACGCTTTACCTTTTTGCTGTTGTTTTTTTTATATTAGCACAGTCAAAATTCTAGACCCCGCCTGCTCCCACTTTTTTTACCTCGCCCTCCTACACGGATTTTAGCCCCCCCATACACACACACGTCATCAAAGCACACACGTGTGTGTATGTACGGCCTCACCAGGTGCCGCCACTGCACCCCCGCCCCCACCCCCAGCAGCAGTGAGGTTAGCTGCAGTCGCCAGGCGGCTAAAGTCAGGGCGGGGACCTCGGGCATCAGGCTGCGAGGAGGGGTTTGGGAGGGGGGAAACGGAGGTGGGGGTTGTCGTACCACACAGATCATGAGGCTCAGATCACTATAAAAAACACATCTGTGGAGGGGTGCAGCATGCGTGTGTGTTTCTGTAACATTCACGCAGGGACGGAAGGGTTGGCCGTGGGGTGTCGGGCGCTTTCTTTAGGTTAGGGTTTAGACAACCCACATACATACGTACATACACACACATGCGCGTGCGCGCATTACATACCTGAACACGGTGGCTGCGGAGGAAACGGCGAAGACCTGGACGGTGGGGTAGGGACGTTGGGGGTTAGGGAGGTTGGAGCCCGGGAGAATGGAAAATCATCGAGGCAGCTTGGAGGTTTTCCTCAACACAAATGCAAGTTGGTGCTGATGACGGTGCTGATGATGATGGTGATAAAGGTGATGATGGTGGTAATCGGGGAGCGGTGATGGTGGTGATAGTGGCAGGGGCCTTTCCCATAACTCTTCAGAGTTAGCAGTCCGGGGAACTCACCGCTGCCACCAGCAAGGGAAACGCGAAGAGTGGCACGCGGCCTCGGCGGCGAGGATGAGGCTGATCGTGTGCTGCATCCGCCTCCAAGCGCGAGCTGCGTGGACCGCTGCCGGTCTTGACCGCGGATGCCGATGTCACCGTTGTTGTCGATGTGGCCGCTGCTTGCTGGGAGGAACCGAGGTTATTGCTAGAAACTCCTGAGGAATAAAATGTGGTGCCATTTTCACTAGGTAGCGCCTGGCTGTCTGCGCCTGATACACGAGAGTATCCAAGGAATGTTTTTAACCGCAGCAGCCGATTAGCACCTTCGGCCAGTGCTTGCATCTAACCGGTTTAGCTCTATAACGGAGAAGTGCATCGAAGATTACCACTTGGAGAATGTCGCGTAGGAGTACCTTAGGGATCAGTAACCAATTTTCAAGCTAACGGAATCTGTTTCTACGGCAAGCCTTCTGAAGCTCGAATGTGCACATCATTCTCATTTGAAATTTGCTATCATGTCTGTGGCTTCTGCTCTGAAGATCCTGGCCTTTAATTACCCGAGCATGTGGCGCGTGGCACTTCCCAATCCCTAGCTGAATAACCCGATCAATTTCCACATTCTCTTTTTAGCGCTACATTTAACAGGTCACAGTGAACATATAGGATGCGGGCTGCGTCGGGGTTCAGCGCACCGCGCTGCGCACCCCGACGCTGCATGGCGTGTCATGAAGACTTTGCCCCTCGCCTTCTCCGCCACATCGCGCCGCACCCGTTCGCCGTGCTATCGGCCGCTTCTTATACCGCCGCAACCGCGGCAACCGCGGCACGGCTACATGCCACCCGCTTCCACAGGACCCCAGCGCGCAACCCCACGGTCCTTACATCGGCTGCCGCTGCTGCTTCCGCAGCTGCTGCCGCCGCAGCGAGCCCTGCCGGCACATCTTCCCTTGCTCTTCCGGAGCTCCCCACGCTGCTGCCCCTGCAGGGCCCTTGGGGCGTGTGGACGGGGCTGGTGCTGGCCGGCGCGCTGGGGCTGTGGTGAGCGCTCGCGTGTGTGTGAGGGTGCGGGGGTCCCCCAGGGAAATCACATGCTGCAAGGAAACCAGGTAAATGAGCTGCTGCCGGAAGACGTCCAGATTTCAACACTGCCGCTAGGGAGCTCTACGCGAGGGGGGGGAGGGAGGGACGGAGGACAGGCGGGTAGGCGGGTGTGGATACGTTAGGACGTCTGAGCCTAGTGAGTCCTGAGCGAGGGAGGGAGGGGCCCCGTGAAGAAGTGAGGTGCCGTACACACACGGGGCGGAGCCGCGCGGGGTGACGTAGGGAGAAGGGAGGGGCTGCGGTGTTGGGACCCTGTGTTTGAGCCTGTTATTGTGGGGGGGAAGAGTTTTGCTTCCTCGTACACACATGGCTTTTTGGTATGCACAGCCGCAATAGCTTGGGGTGCCGGAAGACCTGTCCGGTAATGCCGTACACGTGACCTCTTCTCTGCGACGGGATCGCCGTACATACATACATACATACATACATACATACATACATACATACATACATACATACACACATACACACATACATACACACCGCTCAGAAGTCGTATGTTTCACTCGACAAGAACACGCACGGCATTACCAGCAGACACACAAGACGAAGAGGAAGAAGTAGAGAAGAACACACAATCGAGTCGAGCAGGGTGAGGGCAGCTGCATGGGTCAAATGCACTGAGCTGGGCCCCGAAACCCCCATCCTACTCGCCCCCCTTCTCCCCCTCTCCCTCCGGGCGCCGTAGGGCAGACCGGGCGCTGTTTAGCTGGACCCCTACCTTCAGCTATCAGTGCTACTACCACCCCTGGCTTGGGGGGAAAGTGTCGTACTGCCCTCCCCCCTTTTTCGTACACCTCTCCAACACCCGGTACCGCCACCCACTGGCCCTGCAGGTCTGAGAGGACCCGGCTGGGCAAGGAGCTGAACGGGTGAGGGGGGTTGGGGCGGGGGCGGGGCGGGGGTTACGTGTGTGTGGGGGGTAAGCAAGGGGGGACAAGGAGGGCAAGCACGGTTTCGACACATGCCGTACCGTGCCGTACGGGCCCTTGCACAGAAACGTGAGCAGTACTTCCTCACTACACCCACCATCACCATCACCACGCCGGATACCGCCTAATACGCCCAACTAGCTGCATCGCAATCATCTTCCTTACCCCCACGCGCCTGGCTCCAGCCCCCCAGATGCAGGATAGAAGGACCGCAACAACCGCCCCTGTCCTCCCCCTCCCCCTCCCCCCTTTCCCCCGTTACCCCTCACTCCCCCCCCGTATAGGGCCCTTGTATCCACCCTGTGCGGCATGTTCCTGGCCAACGTGGGCTTGCTCCCCCCTGCCGCCCCCGAGCTGCATGTCGTGTACAAGTACCTGCTGCCACTCGCCATACCCATGCTGCTGTTCGCCGCGGACCTGAGGTGCGTGGGGGGTAAAGAGGGGTTGGGTATTGGGGGGAGGGGAAAGGGGGAAAGACGAACCACAGACGCGTGAAGCTGGGGGGTGTTGGGGGTTTTGGGGGGGGCGGGAGTTGTTCGCCGAGGAGTGTTTTGGGGGGAGGGTCAAAGGGGTAAA